CCTGACACGCGGAGATTCATCGTTTGCTAGGCTCCAGGACGAGTCTCTACCAGAGGGCCTTCCCGTTGGCACACCAGACATGGCAGACGTTGGCCGCCACGTAGAGCTTCGAAGAGGTGGGTACTCAAGAGAGGGATCTTTTCACCGAAGACCACTGAGCCCATCGCCAGAAAGAAAAGCTGCAGCCAAACTGAACACGGACCTAAAGCAAACGCCCCAAAGCGGACTTGTCGACCCTTCCACACCTCTCCAACGACTTGAAAACTTTCTGAGTCCTGATCGAGCCAAGAACTCTGGGAGCCCCCTGAAGTTATTTGATGCACATGATACTTTTACCAGCAATCGCATCCAAAGACGCTTGAGCCAACTTGAGTACAAGCCTGAAAAAGGCACATCTAGTGTCAAAGAGAACCCATCTGATTCTGCCAAGCTGGTGCCGAGGCAATCAAGATTACCATCTGTCGAGGAGAAATCCATGCAGAATATTGCCCAGGATTTGACTTCGAACAACCGCCAACCATCAACCAAAAGGATCACATCCTTTGGCCAAAGCCAGCTCAACAAGTATCAGTTTTCTGGCGACTTCTCTGTTCTCTCGTCGGATGGAGATGACTGGAGTGCTCACGATGACAGCGCACCTGATGGATCACCCTCGATCGACGTTGCACCCCCTGGAAGCCGGCCGCCATTCAAGTTCCATCTGGATGAATCGCCTGTCCCACGTCAGCCCTCAAGGAGTAAAAGAAATGTATCGAATTATTCTCCAACCTCCATGCGAAATTCCAGCCGACCGAAATTCGTGCCACATCGAAAAGCCTCGACGGCAAAGGCCGAAGAAGACTCGGAAATCGCCCACGAGTATGCTGAAGGCAAAAGAGGCCCAACGTCACCATTCAAGAACCCCACTCCTAAACGTAGAAGGACCATCTGTTCGGTTGATGACGAAGAAAACAACGATGATGTTTTTAGCGATGGAGGAGGAAGTACAGTGCGACGTCCGAAGGCATCAGCTCAGCCCACTCTCGACCAGAACCAAAGAGATCTCCTGAGCGTGTTCTCAAACAAGAACGCCAACTCGGAAACGCTAGCCAAGAGACATATCTTAAGGCCTCGCAACCCTACCCCGAGTCAGCTGAGACGAGAGGAGATCCAAGCAGAAATTATGGAGGCTACGGAAGCCTTCATCATGTCATCACCCAAACTCAACACCATCCGCGAACAGCTGGAGCCTTCTAATGTGTCCGACGCTGATTTGGACAATGCTCGTGCGAAGGCGGTCGCCAATGAGATTGCCGCTTTTAGTATGAAGAGGCAACATGGCGTGCGAGACAAGAACCGTAAGCGATCTGTCACTACACAAGACTTCCTGGACGAGGCCCTAAAGATCATGGACTTTATTCGCACAAAGGGACGGCCTACCAGCGGCTTGGGGAGCCTCGAGGAGACGGAAGCTGAATCGCAGTTGATCGAGGATGACAACGAACATGCTTCGAGTTCGCGGACAGTTAAAAGGCCTGCGAGTAGAGAGGACCGGCCACCAGCTTGGAAGGAACCGAACAAACAAGACGTGGATCCGAGTATTCTCAACCATTTGCGCAGGTATCAAGAAAATGATGACGATAGCTTTCTGAATTCATCGGTGAACTCAATAGGCTTCTCTCGTCTGAACGGGCTAGCCGCACCCGTAGAAGAAAGTGCAATGGGCGAGCAGGACAAGGTTGGGATGAGAGAGGACGCAAACAGACACTACGACAGGGGCGACGATGACCACCACTCCAGCTCCCGACCTCAGACCGCACGCACTCAGTTATCAACAGGCTCATCGATTGGACACACTGTCCTCACAAACGCATCTAGGCGTTCGGAACACGTCGCTAATCTAGCACCCGAGGCGATAGCGCACCTTATTCCCCAGGAGGTAGCCGGCATGAGTTTTGACCGCGACAAAAACATGTGGGTTCGGCAGAAGAGTCCAACTAGGGAGCGTCGTGTTGAGCAGGCAATACCAAGCCCCTTGAATGAGAGCGAAGACGATCCATTCGGCAACATACCAGATCTGACGGTGGAGGACACACATGCGCATGACACTAGAGCGGACTCACCAGTTCGTCTCCAGCCCACAGCAGAAACCCTTGTGGACGATACGGAAAAGCCCACAGAAGGAGAAGAAGTACGTCCAACGACGCGCGAAGGAAACGGCGTCGCATACACGGAAACGAGCTCAGCGCCTTCAAAGGGCTCCAACTTTGGATCAAGTTATCCTAAGACTGAGACACGGGCCACGTCTTGGAGTACACAAACCGCACGGCAACATGGCACCCAGAAGAGCTCCCGCACGCAAACTACTTATGCGATTCCAGAGTCTGAAGAAGACGATATCGAACATGAGATCAAGTATTTCGAGGGGCGAGGTCCCGTACGCCAGGGTGCACAGCGCCCACGAGTAAGGGACATCACCATCTCTATTGCCGAACGGGAGGCGCCTAGTACAGAGCGTCGATCCGAAGAGACACCGCAAAAGCCCCGGCAAAATCAATGGGGACCATCAAGTGCGCAGAAAAGGTCGGAAAGAAAACAGTCAGCCTGGGAGCAGTCAAATCAAAACAAGGCTCTGTCCCATGGAAGACCTGGTCGATTACCAATGTTCAACGGTGACGGTGATCTCTCGCTATTGGATGATGTCCGAGCCAGAAACTATCGCATGCACTTATCGATGAATGTAGCGGGGCCTCCATTCAGAGACCACGGACGGGATGCACTGGTCGCCGCAGGATCATCACCTATCAAGGGGGATGTGACGTTTATGCTCAGCGATTTACCCGAGTTCACTCTGAATCAGGTTGACGAATTTGACCTCCCAGACCGAGTGGTGGTGAAGCACGACGGTAGCCGATTCACCAAAGCTCTGGAAGATCGCTATGCACAAGGAACAGCCGAACTTGTAAAGGCCCTTCAAGACGTTGAGCCAGATGAACCGTACTGGGAGGACCTTCGCAATGTCAATCTCCGGAAGAAGGACCTTACCAACTTGCATCGCCTTGACGAACTGTGCTACCAGCTTGAGGAGCTCGATGTCTCAAACAACAAGATCAGTCAAGTGGAAGGCATACCTTACTCTATGCGACGGTTGCAAGTACAGAACAATTGCTTGACTGGACTGACCTCCTGGACCAATCTTGTCAATTTGCAGCATCTCGACATATCCGATAATGAGGTCGATGCGCTAGATGGACTTGCTGGATTGGTGCATCTGCGAACACTCAAAGTCGATAATAACAAGATCAAGTCTCTCAATGGCATTATTCATCTCGATGGCCTAATGGAACTGAGTGCTGGCGGTAATGAGATAGACACGATAGACTTCGCCAAGACAAATCTGTAAGTACATCGGCACTTATACGTCACACACCATGTCCTGACTAGTGCACTAGGAAATCTCTCACAGATCTTGATCTGCGCAAGAATCGAATGCTTGAAGTCCGCAATCTGCATTGCTTACCACAGCTTCAGCATCTCAACCTAGGTATGCGTTTGTTCTGGTTCATGCACCCTTTCACAGACTGACATCCGGCAGATGACAACGAGATTGAAGAGTTTCCTCTTGTCGACACACCAGTGAAGCCCTGCAAAGCACTTCGCTCAATCCGTCTTTGCAGAAACAGAACTACGCTTCTCGATGTTGACCACTATTTCCCAAGGCTTGAGTCGCTGTACATCGACGGCAACTCTCTAACACAGGTCTTAGGATTGGAGCACCTTCGAAACCTCCGGACTTTCTCGGCTCGTGAACAAATACTCGACTCCGAAGCAGACATGGAGATATGTGCCAACAATCTTGTCAAGAATTCAGAAGTGCGCAATCTCTATCTCTCACTCAATCCCACATATGGCTTGCAGATTTCACAGCACCTGTTGAGCCTTCAACGATTGGAACTGGCCTCCATGGGCCTTAAACAACTACCTGACAACTTTGGTCAGCTTACACCAAACATCAGGTCCATCAACCTAAACTTTAACTCCATTACGGACCTACGTCCACTCCTCAACATCAAGCGGCTGAGTGAGCTTTTCTTGGCGAGCAACAAGCTCGAACGCCTTCGTGCAAATGCGCTGGTGCTGGGCAAGCTAAACACACTTTCGAAACTAGACTGGCGAGACAATCCTCTTACTCTGCGCTTCTATGCGCCATCATCCGAAAATCGGATCATGTCCCTTCGACGGAAACCCTCCGAGGAGCAACTCAAGAACCGCTTCCTTCTTCCAAATGGAGAAGTAGAGGCTGATGTTCAACATCTTTTGCGACTCGATTATGAGACGCGGATCAGGCGGCGCGTCACGGAGATGATGCTTGCTAATCTCTGCAAAAACCTGAAAGAGCTGGATGGCCTACCATTCGACAAGGCACGTGTGCTCGTCAAGGACGACGTGTGGGAGCGTTTGTTGTTTCTTGGCGTCATACAGCGCAAGCGCGCGGACACAGCTGTCGACGACAGCGAATGATAGACTGGTGACTTGGGAATAAGGACAGAGGGATGTTCCAGACGACCGGTGCGTCACATTCTCAGTAATGCTTCTTGTTAGCTTGGAGTTTTGGATGGGGCTGCTCTTCTTACGCATTGCAAGTCAAATTAGGTTTCAGTGGGTTTTGCATAGCATCTGGCTGGTACTTTAGCATCTTGTAGGCGTAGTATTCATTGGCGTCTTTTTAAACGCGAGCTTTATCTGCTCGACTGGGAACGGCCCATTTTAATGACTTCACGAATTGTATTAGTAGTAATCGGGCTCGATGTGTTGTCGCAATTGCAATTTTATCAATCTCTCTCGAAAGTTTGCCTTCGAGACTCCAAATGTAAGGCCGACGTGTGATCAGCCGCCCCGCGTTCCACTAAAACAGCTGCACTGAGGCCCGTGCATCAAATCGCCCTAGAACCCGTGACACGCAATCATAAACTCAAATGTTCGCCGTATTGAGATGATCATCATCTACCACACATCCGACAATGGCCAGCCCATCTGACGAGGAGAGGATCGTGCAGCTGGCGGAAAAGGCTCACGAGAGTATCAAAACTGGCGAGTTGGATGTGGCAGCTCGATACCTACGTGAAGCTGGCACTATTGCACCTGAAGACAACCGGATCAAAGAAGCATGGGTTGCATTAAAGGAGGAAGAAGGCAAAAGCGAGTTCTTGGGGGTCTGTAGGGAGTGGGCAAAGAGCAAGGATGCACGTGATGGAGAAAGAGCACTGAAGGCTATGAGAACGCATGGTTTGAAGGAGGAAGAGGCGGCGCAGGCAATGGACATTCTCTTCGACTACAAGGGTGAAGACGACACCCTCGATCAAGTCTCGGGTGAACTTTTACAAAATATTGGAGCTCAGAAGTGGCTTGTCAATATGGTTCGAGAAAAGCCGACGCGGATGTACTATGAGATGTTCGAACGGGGCAACGACTCAATCGATGGCTTGCTAAAAGTCTTGCTGAACCGAGCCGTCTGGCCTGATGACGAATCATTCAAGACAGGTCATAGAGATATCTTTATGCTCAGTTTGGCAATGATGATGGAGGAGGCCCTGGAGCACCCGGAACGCGCCATGAAGGGCATCGCGCAACTGCTCGCTCACTACGCAGAGCACCTCAAGGGAATCATTGACGCGGACAGCTTCGATGTTATATTGGCATCGCTCGATATCCGACTGCCAGCCACACTACGAAGTCAGGCTACACTTGCAAGTATCAAGTTATTTGAGCTTGCCCCGGACACTGCCGGAGAACTCATCTCGAGATTCGTCACCGCCAGGATAAAGAAGGGAGAGGCACATGATCTAGTCATTGCTTTCTCTGCAGCTGCAGCCATCTTCCCAGTGGCTGTTACAGCGGCTGCAGCCCTTTTCCTCACAGATGGCTTTGTCAGCACACTTGCATCGAGAGTGCAGAGCAAGAAGTCGCACAACCTGGAGCAAGCGACCCTCGAACTGATCAGCGCTGCATGCGTAGACAAGAACTGCCGAGAGGCCATCAACAAGCACTGTAGGGAGTGGCTAGAAGACATGGTTGCCGAGTGCCCGAACAAGAGGCGGGCTAACCTGGCTGCACTCATTCTTGTGAAACTGGGCGAGGAGCAGCCATCCGAGGAAGGTCCGCGGATCGTCAGAGCAGAGAAAGTAGACCAAGAGGACCTGATCGCAAGCTTCAAGTCAATGGTCATAGGAGGCGATACGGCATCCAAGCAAGACTCGGTTGAGGGCCTCGCATATGCCTCGCTTCAGCCCAAGGTCAGGGAAGATTTATCCAAGTCTCCAAAGTTTCTCAAACGCCTGATCGAGGCCATGAGCGACCCTTCGTCACCAAAGAATATCATTTTTGGTGGCCTTACGATCTTCAACAATATTACACAATACCAGCCTTTACAATCCGAGGAAGAAAAACGCATGGCACAGCTCAAGGCCTACGCAAACGTGCAGAAACCAACCGCTCCCGATGTTCTTCTGAACGACGAAGACGTAGCCATACGCTGCAAGCGCGTTCTCGACGCAGGCGTTGTACCACTTCTAGTGCAAGTCTGCAAAAATGGATCACCCTCCGTCCTCACCCAAAGCAGTCTCATTCTCCTCAGCCTATGCAAAGACACCAAGAACCGAGGCCCAATGGCCCAGCAAGGCGCCGTCAAGCTCCTCATCCAAATCTGGGAGCACATCACCGCCACAAACGAAGCTTCCACAACCGGTACCACACCCTTCCCGCCCGCCACCCTCCCCACAACAGCGCAAGCCCTATCCCGGCTACTCATCAGCATAAATCCCTCCCACGTCTTCAACGCCGCCCTCCCTAGCACCTCGGCCATCCGCCCCCTCATCAGCCAACTCGCCCGCACCGAATCCACAACCTGGCAACTCCACGCCTTCGAAGCCCTGCTCGCCCTCACCAACCTCGCCTCTCTCGACCGCAACACCCAAGACCATATTATCCGCCAGTCCTTCGACACCGTCGTCGACGACCTGCTTCTCAGCCCGAACACGCTTGTCCGCCGCGCAAGCACGGAACTCGTGTGCAATCTCATGGCCTCCCCCGTTTGCATCAGCAACTTCGCGGATGCCTCGCCACGCGCTAAACACCGCTTGCATCTCTTACTCGCCATGACGGATGTCGAGGATTCTGCGACGCGGTCTGCGGCTGGTGGTGCACTGGCTATGCTACTCTCTGTCGATCTTGCCGTCGAGGAGTTCTTGAAGCAGGAGAAGAGTGTGGAGTGGTTGGTGGGGCTGTGCCAGGATGAAGACGAGGGGATTAGGTATCGCGGTGTTGTTTGTCTGAGGAGTGTGGTGGATGTGGAGCAGGGGAAGGAAAAGTGTAAGGGGAAGGGCGTTGTTGAGGCGCTGAAGGTTGTGCTGAAGGAAAGTCGGAGTCAGGAGGTTTTGAGTGTGGGAGTTGAGACGTTGAAGATTTTGCTGGGGCAGTGATGGGGATGGAGGTGTTGATTTCACGGAGTTTGAAATGGAATCAGTAAGGATATCGAAATGGAGACATTTGATCTGTTATGAGGTAGACTTTAGATTGAGATGAGTTATGATTCATGCTTTGTTCTCCAACTTTCTCCATATAGACACCATAATCGCCTGATCTTCACCGTGCAATAGCTTCTATCCTAGGATGATACCGATATCAGACCCGAGACTCTTTTTGAGAGTCCAAAGCCCGATTGGTCTCGGATACATTTATAGACAGAAGTGGGGAGCAGACACTGATAAGCGGCGAGCTTATCTTCGGAACGGTTCCGACATCAACCCCTCACGACTGATATGCACAATTGCGTCGAGTCAAGGTAGTGACTGTAATGTGCCTGAAAGATATGCCGGTTACTAATAAATTACCTGTGATGTTTCTGAGGTGGCTTTGCTTCCATACCCCATTGGAAAATTCATACGATAGGATTGCAAGATGAACCACTTGCCGGATCTACTACCGCGTGCTAGGACCATTGCTTCAGACCATGTAGTCTCAATTTCTGTTGTTGCAGTCGCGTTGTTCATTGTGTACAAAGTAAGTATGTCCAGAGCATATTAAAGCAGTTACAACTAATATCATTAGCTACTCACTCGTACCGATATCCCCTATATCCAGGGCATACCTGAGATTCCCGGCGCTCTCCCCGTCACAGGTCACTTGACACAACTGGGAGATGACCATGCAACTGTGTGCGAGAAGTGGTGGCGCCAATACGGCTTCTCAGTATTTCAGATTCGGCTCGGAAACACACGTGCTGTGGTGGTGAACTCCTTTGAAGACTGCAAGAAGATCCTCATGTCAAACCCCCAGGGCCTGATTGATCGACCGAAGCTGTATACGTTTCATGGCCTCATATCTTCGACACAGGGCTTCACGATTGGCAGTTCCCCGTGGGATGAAAGTTGTCGCAACAAGCGTAAAGCGGCGTCCACGACGCTCAGCAAAGGAATGATGAAAAATTATGCCAACATGTTTGACCTTGAATCCTACTGCATCGCACGAGATCTGCAGAGAGATAGTAAAGGTGGAGAGGTAGAAGTTAGCATCCGACCGTACATCCAGCGCTACGCACTGAACACGACACTCACGCTCTGCTATGGCATCCGCATGGACGCCGTCTACGACGATTTGCTACGCGAGATACTCGAAGTCGGCTCTGCAATCTCGCTGCTGCGATCTGCATCCGAGAACTATCAAGACTACGTCCCTGCTCTGCGCTATTTGCCGAACAACGAGAAGAACAGGCGTTCGAAAGAGCTGAGGGAGAGGCGCGACAAATATCTCAACTTGCTCCTAGATAAAGTGCGAGACATGATTGCGAAGGGAACTGAGAAGCCGTGCATCAGCGCCGCTATCCTAAAAGATGTGGAAACGCGACTCACAGGCGTTGAGGTCAGCTCTATATGTCTGTCTCTTGTATCTGGTGGGTTTGAAACTATACCAGGTACACTGGTATCTTGCATTGGATCACTGTGCACACGCGAGGGCCAGGTATTTCAAGATCGCGCGTACCAAGAAATCCGGAAGATGTATCCACAAGATGAGGACTTGGAAAAGGCGTGGGCGAGTGATTTTGAGGAAGAGAGCATTCCGTATTTGAGTGCGATAGTGAAGGAGGCGGGAAGGTACTATACGGTCAGCAACATGAGTCTACCGCGGAAAACTATGAGCGAAGTGCGCTGGGGCGAGGCAGTTATACCGAAAGGTACAATGGTGTTGATCAATGCTCAGGCTGGGAATCATGGTGAGTAAACAACCGTCTGCAATTGAGATGCGTAAGATCTAACTGTGTTAGACACTGATTACTGGGGCCCTGACGCTGCAACTTTCAACCCCGAGCGATGGCTTACAGCACCCGTCGACTCGTCATCCCTTTACACGACAAATCCTGTATCCAATCCAGCACATCTCTCGTTTGGGGCGGGCTCTCGGTCTTGCCCTGGAGCCCTCATCGCTAGCAAGCTCATTTACGCAGCGCTCTTCCGTTTGCTCAGTATGTACAGAATCGAAGCTAGTGCAACGCATCCGCCAAATACGGATTATGTGGACTACAACGCGATCAAAAGCGCGTTAGTAGCAATACCCCGCGACTTTTCGGTGAAATTGAGTCCGAGGTACGGGGCGGGTGTGGTGGAGACCGTGTTAAGGGAGGGTGAAAGGAGGACTGCGGGATTTTACAAGGTGTGAGTGAAAGTGAATAGTTAGAATCAGTCAAATCATCACAGGTGAGACGTGATATAAAAAATTCAGTCGCGTCTGCTCGAATTTCTTTGACCTACACGATCAGTCGCAGCCACGCTTTCTCAACCAGCTTGTCGATCGCAGGCGGCATCTCACTCGTCAACTACAAATATGAGGCTTCGAATTATTCTCAGCTGCACCATCTTGCTCATCGTAACTGCCTTTGGCCGTTTCATCAACAATGAGCAGGTGGCGTCCGTTTCTAACTCCCGCCTTGAAAGCGAGCTCCTTAATAACACAGTTGTAAAGGATGGACTGTTCGATGAATCGCCTGCCGCTGAGCCCGAAGCTATTAATTATGGTGACGAATCTACATTCGATCCCACCGTGTGGGCGAGCAACCAGCTATGGAGCAGATACGTCGGTAAGGGTCATCAGCTGCTCTGTCTCATGCTGGCTTCGGACGAAGTTGCTGGATTTCTCCTGGAGGACACGAGACAGCCGCCTTCAGCTGCTAGTAGATGGTCGGGCGATCTAACTGGTGAGCTCATCGTTCTTCTAACTACGCAAAGCATAACTTAGGAAACTGATCCTCTTCATATTTCAGGCGCATTACGGCTGTGGGGCTGGCATCACGCCGACACGCCTCAAGGCGAGGATTGCAACTTTGAGTGGGAAGGGTTGGAGGATGCTTTCGAGGGACTGGGCCTCGACTATGGGCCAATGTTCGACGAGAGAAATAAAGATATCGGCGGAGAGAATGAGTGCTTCTCTATTGAACATTGGAACCGTGATTTAACCTTCCCTGAAGACGTCGACCTTGACCCGATACCTATCATCGAGCAGAGGTACTATGTCAACGGCAAAGAGTACAGGGTATGTTTATGTCTGCGGTGCTTATGCTAGACGATGCAAAGCGCCATTATCATGGAGCGGCTGGAAATGATCGTTCAAAACACCAGCTAACACATGATAACAGGAAACAGGCGCAACCTACTTGTTTGCCCTTAACATGGCGGGCGGAGCGATCATCGGAAAAAACATCCTGAGTCCGCGTGCTGCTGTGCAATACTCGAACAGTTGGGGTCACCAAGCACGGCCTGGAGAGCTCCCTGAGCTGCAGCATCTTTCCGACATCTACTGGAATTATTGGAGAGACGGTAACCCTAATATCAGACACCTTCGTATCTATTGCGCCACGCATATCATCAACGATCACACTCTTCTCCTTGTCACTCGTGCATTCCGGAATAGACGCAAATTTGCTTTGGAGATTTGGCCGGGCGTCAAATTCGAGATGGGTAGCGACGAGTATCTGGCATTGATTGGTATGAATCGCATCTCTTACTTGAATGCTCATCTTCCCTATAATCCCGGAGCTATATATACTGATTTTCTCTAGCCTCTCCCATTGGGGCGACTATTTCCCACTTTCTCATCAGCCACAAAGCCGACCTCGGTATCAAATACATCACGAGCGTCATAGTTATCTGCGGTGGACATAATCAAGACACTTGCGCAAGAGGCATGGAGAATATGCACATATTCTTCACAATTGAAGATGTGCCTCATGCTTGGGTTACGAAACGTGAAGAAGACAAGGGAGGAAACGGAGAGACGAATTGGGTTAAAAGCCATGTCCTCCATGTGAGGAATGACGGGAAGCAAATTGTCCGGGAGCACAAAATCATGGCGAATCTCTAGGGTAAGTTGAAAGCGTGGGATTCCAGGATCAGATGGATGGGCTAAGGTCTGCGAAGTGGATGTATAGTTTCGAGATATAGCGAACACCTTCGGACTCGAGTGCAACTACTACTCATTGCATTACCGAACGCCAGTTCTCGGCGATATGTTGCGATAGATGTATCTATGCTGCTTCAATCTCCTGTACGCGCGCCATGATTCTGTTCTTCCACTTTTCGTAATCGTCCTGCTGTCGCTCGCCAAGGTAGTCAGTTGCATCTTGCATCATAGTGCCCAGTCCAATATAATCGCTTCCAGATCGTAGACCTAGGCCCTTTGCTTTGGCAGTTGTATTGCCGGTCATTTCAACACCCTCCATCTCGTCTTCATTGTCCAGAGGTTTTACACTATCGAACCACTGCATCTGCAGCCAGCCTTCCTCCTTGGCCATGGCCATTGTCTGCTCTATCGCAGGTGCCAGTTCATCTTGTGTGATGTTCTGTGCAGATGGGGTTTTCAATACAGCATCCATTGCTTTAGCTAGCCATTCGTTGTATGTATCTGGCGAGACATCGACATCCTTCATTCTCGAGAAAACGAGCAGGAATACAACAACTACAAGGCTACAAAGCCGTGTATCACTGACATCAGCAAAAGACTGTGAAGCAGATGTTGGTCGTCGTGGCCGCTTGCTGGGTGTCTCTGCGGCTGCGGCAGCCATACGGGCTAGTAGGGGGTAAATGGACTCTACACCGGTGTATACATGAGGTATCACTGCTGGGTATTCGAACGCCTTTGCGAGAGCACGGATAGCGGGCATAACCCACTCAGGGGGCTCACCATCGCTTTCACGGGCTCGCTTTGTACTGTGCGGTGTCTTCCTTGCGCTCAGGGGCGTTTTTGGCGTGTTACGTGTGGATGTGGGGGCTGGAGCAGACGATTTACGCGGTGTTTGCGGTTCTGCAGCGGCAAAAGAGTCTGGGAGAGCACTACTTAGGTAGTTATACAGCTTCTTATATATGCGAGGGGGGCAGGGCGGTCGTGATGTGATTGAAGGAAGGTTGAGGCGCTTCTTAAGCCTGTGGCTGTCAGTTTTGAGCTCCATGTAAGGACAGATGCCAGACTACCGTTCGCAAGCCAATTGTGCACATGCGTATGGTCGTGCGATTTCTTCATCAGACTTCATAGACGTCGCGACTGTTCGGGAACGAGTGAGAAGCGACAAAGCCAAATCGATCAGCTCCGGGGGCAGAGGGCCGTTCAATGTAGGGACTAAGCCTGTGAGGGCCTGCTCGATACTCGCTCGGCTCATAATGTAAGATGTTGAGGATATTCGTCTTTCCCAAAGAACAATGCTGTAATGCGAATACAGACGCGTTACGTCCACTTGCGCGGTGTCACGTGGACGCTAGACTGTTCTTAGTTCATAGGCACACTTCGTGTGTTCCTTGTTTGCACTGCCCTTGCACAACCTCATCTGATTCTTCAGATTGTCAGTCTTGAGCTATATATATTACCATTTCTTTGTTCGCCAGTCTTCAAACATCTCAATTGATATGGCTCAGCCGGTGTTTTGTCACTTTCCAATTCCATCATGCAAATGTCCATGGTCCCTAATACGGAGCTTTGATGAACATATGTTTTCCAACAATTTCGCGGATATGCGATGACCAATCAGTATGTAGGAACATACACCTGTGTGCTATTATTACCTTGGAGCACTATCACGTTGTTTGTTGGCTTTCCCACAATGCTCTCGGCTTACACACACTTGACCTCTTCCCAGCGCCCATGGCCGTATCGCTTGATCACTGCATTACTTGTATTATCACACCATTATCTGTTCCCAAATACAGAAGTTTCTGGATCTTCCAAGTATATTCGTATGACCCTCTTCTCAGTATCCAGTACCACTTCTTTGCACGTTACGTACTCCCAGCGTCCTTGTCCCACTGTTACAGTAGCACCTCCAAGTTTTCACCGCTATCCCCAGCCAATGGGTGTTTGCATCCCTCAAGAGTCGAAGTAGCAAGCCGCGCCAATGATACCGAAACTACGACATAGACATAGGGTTCACGCCATGTCGCTATGACTAACGTCTCATGTTCAGGCTATGGTGGTACTGGGGAGGCGCGGTTCAGCGGTCAAGCCGAACTTACCTCGGAACACGTCAACTTGGCTTGACCGACATATTTGCGTACATGGCTTCTGATCGCAGCTGCTGTGCTTGATAGGACGCCGCGGTAGGTGCACTCGTCAGAAGGGCAAAGGTGACATCAAAAACATTAAACCTGTGTTACATACAACGGCCCTATCCGGAAGGAAATGGTATATCAAAGCCACGCCGATGACGGGAACTTGCAGTTTGACAGTTTGGTAACGACTGCTAACTATATCACGGCACGAGACGATGACGATATGCATGTGGCTAGGGTACTTAAAGTCCGCGTTGCTTCTTATGCTTTCCAGTCCAAGTAACATACAAACACGGTATCGATTGCTACACTCTACAGATAAATACTCCATAAATCCTCGAAGACTCTTTGGCCTTTACAATCTTCTAGTTTCCGGCCACACGAGAACCTTAAGAAACCACTCTTCGCCTCACAAAGATCTTCAAAAATGCACTTCACAAGCATTCTAATCAGCCTACTTTCTACCCTGCCTAGCACCCTATCAGCGCCTGCATCCTCTATAGCTCACAATGATGGCCCACAAATGTGCGGCTACGTCCTCACAGTCCGAAACAGCAGTGCCTACGCCGGCATCTCAGCATACACGTCTTGTACACCAATATACTACAACCAATCCATCCCCGGATACCAAGCTGCGTTCGCTTACAGCATATTTGGTGGGTGCCGATGCACATTTCACGGGTAAACATCCCCTTGTGATGGGAAACCCATATACTAAACATTGCTAGGAGCGAACAGGATTGTGTAGGTGGACAGAATACGCCAATATACGAAGGGCCTATTGGGAAAGTTGGCAAGGAACCCCATTTCGGCGAGCCGAAGCCCAAGTGGTACAATTGTGAGACGTTGGCCTTGTAGGGCTACTGGCGTAGGCGGGTCTGGAGGTGGTGATGGCTTTTGGTTAGCGCTTGCTTTGTTGGGATACCATTAATAGGTTGTTAGCAGCGATATTTTTTGGCCTGTGAAGATCGTTGGTCCACTCTTGGTTTGTTTAGAGATATGAACTTCAATACAAAATTCCGCTATGCTATGTGTCTTCGCGTGCACGCTTTGCTCGCACAGCGCGACGTTTCATGACAATATATGTAAGTTAAACTTGGATGCGGTTTTTTTTGTTTTGTAGATGAAAGTGCAAGATCCTGGCTTTCGATCGCGTGTGCAGTGATTGCCCCTCCATCCCCTAACTGCGACAGCCACAGTAACCAATTGACTTCTTCCATATCCGCTGCTTATGAATCATCAGCCTAGAGGTTGAAGAAGACACTCGACCTTTGAACCACATCCGTTGCTACAAGTACTGGGGCTAAGAAAACCTGAAATTTTAAGTCAGTTTCCTACAGACCTCGTAGACCAAAAGCTTCAGATGGAGCAAATCGTAAGTACAACTTACCTTAAGAATCCATAGATCTAAAAATAGCTCATTAGCTATCACTATTACACTTGACGCGGCCTACACTGCTTGTAGGGCAGCCTTCGGGAACAAAGCGAGGATTTGGGCGATCTGAACTTTTGACACAGTGATGATTACTACAGCGTTCTCGCACTAGATCTTCGGAGGCGAAGACTCGGTATATGGCAGCGGCGGACAAGAGGATGAATAGATGGAGCAGCTGCATCTTCGTGTTGTAACGATTTTGCTACAGGTGACCAAATGCAGGTAAAATCGAGGTGGTTGAATGACCTAGAAGTGACGGGAAAAGATGAAGTTTCGGGGCTGACGTATTTTGAACAGAGAGAAGAGGGTATTTCAACCTAGTTTTATGTTACCGATGGATTTCAGGCCTCGATCCTGTGGGAGGAAGAGGCATGTGATGGTGAAGAAGGACCAAGGAGGTATTCGAGATGATCCGGATTCGCGTCGTACACTTGGGCCACAGAAGCAGTGCTAATAGTAATTGTATGACATCGAAACTTCATATCTTCCAGTCCTTTTCAAACTAAGTCAATTTTCTGGTACGCGTTATCATCGTTACCGTCACCCCATTCTCGCTTCCATGGAATGATACTGCATCAGTAACTTGCACTTTGCTATTTGTCACTGCCTATGAAACAAAACCCATGGCTAGGCTACACTTTCATCATTCCAAATTGAAACTGAATGAATGGTGAGAGCGATCCCTTATTTCATGATTGTACCTTAGAAACATAGTGATGGGTGGTCACAAGTAGTTGTACGATCATTACAAATTCCTTGCCTGACTCCTTCGCAGCTTCAAACTCTTTCTAGCGTCATCCCACATTAAATCGAACCCTTGCACTAGCCCTGAGCTGGGATGCGTTTTTCCGCATTATTTCTAGGTGCCTACATGGCAGTGAACGTTTTAGCTTCTAAGTACTTCAAGTAAGTACCACATTCTTAATGCCTGTAGTGGCACTATCAAGGAGCAAGATTAATCACTCAGACAGGGGGGTCGGCTACGTCCGTGGTGGAAACAGCAAGATTTACTTCCTTGACCTCACCGACGAAATTAAACCGATCACCGATGATACTCAGAGGGGCTATTTTGTACGGCCCATTTGTTGGAACATCGAAAGACACTTCTCCTGCAGTTTCTACGCGGATTCGTTGACCGGTCACGGTCCTTTGATTGGCCAGTACGAGGGTTTCAGCGAGGGCTGGTTTAGCACCGAGTATGCAGCATATTATAGATGCTGGTTTACTGGCTCCCAACGTCGGGACACTGTCACTGAGAATCCACGCACTAGTATCGAGCGTGTACAGACTGGTATCGAACGCCGGAAGCGGCCAAAAGAGTGGCCAGAGCCAAGCGACTGGCGGCGGCCAAACGACTGGCAGCGACCAAGTGACTGGCAGCGGCCAAACGACAGGCAACGGCCAAGCGATTGGCGGCGGCCAAATGACAGGCACAAACCGCCCCTGTTAGCAAGCTACCCGTGTGGCGTTCTCGGAGTATGCTTTAGCCTTGATAATACACTCAACATGGATTGTGCTAACCTCGATAAATTGTGGCATGATAGTTTCAATTTGCAGATTCTCAAAAGTGATACGTATGGGCTCCTCGATGTTTACCACTACGGGTGCTTTCTTGCTCTTCAGGTACTCTGATCTTATGCAGAAGAGCTAGCGCGACGATGAATGGGAAATTTTGAAGCGATTCAATTAAAGTATTTGTAAATTTGGTACGGGAAACAAAATAATTTACCAATTTCGCGTATTTATTGAGTAGTATGAGTTTTCGTTCGATGATTGCGCCAGACCAGGTACTTTGAATTCTGGTACACAATATCGCAATAGTAAGCTTGGATAACGCATTTCCGACCGATATATACCGCATACGATATCTGATGGCGACGGGATCTTTGTAGTTTCAAGCTTGCATGATCACAGGGATGCGGTGCTGGTGATTAGGATTCACGAGGGTGGGTGTGAGCGAAATGGTGAAGTCGGAGGTCCGAGGCGCTCCCATTGGCGGCCGGGGCGATAAGATAAGGACCCAAAATTTCCATTGCACCTTGCGAACTTCCTCGATGCTTGCATGCGACACCACACCTCGATACCCCACGCGCCACCCAACATCCACAAGCAATAAGGAAGTCAGCACCAAGAATCGCACACTGAAATACATCCAATCAGACGACCGTATCAACAAACTACCACCACGATGATCCGAAAACAAGCGCGTGAAAGGCGCGACTATCTCTACCGCCGCGCATTAACACTGCGCGATGCAGAACTTGCATCCAAGAGAGCCGCACTCAAAGAATCTCTCGCAAGCGGAAAGCCGCTGTCAAAAGACGTCGCCAACGACACAACCCTAAGAGAAGACTACAAGTACGACGAGAGCAGAGCAGATAGGACAGTCGAGGAAGAGCTAGGCTTGGATGACGAATATGCGCAGCTTTCTGGAGTTGTCGACCCGAGGATCCTCGTCACAACCAGTCGGTACGAGCGACGCTTTCCTCTTCGTTGAGCGCAGGCCACCTGCTAATACATGTGTGATATAGAGACCCTTCCAGCAGACTCGGCACTTTCGCAAAAGAAATCCGACTACTCCTCCCCACATCCATCCGCCTGAACCGTGGTAACATGATTCTGCCCAACCTAGTCGAAAGCGCAAAGTCTGGAGGTCTAAGCGACATGGTACTTCTACACGAACACAGAGGTACTCCGACTGCCTTGACGGTCTCGCATTTCCCCCACGGTCCCACGGCCAGTTTCTCGCTTCGTAAGTCTTGCTTTTTACCATCATCCTTTTCTGTTCCATGGATGGCGGACAAAAGGCTAACGAAATAATAAAGACAACGTAGTTCTCCGAGCGGACATCCCCAACTCCTCGCGCGGCACAGTCTCAGAAAGCTATCCGCACCTCATCTTCGAAGGCTTTACTACAAAACTCGGCCAACGCTGCGTTCAGATCCTCAAACACCTTTTCCCGCCTCGAGAAGCAAATGCCAAAGTAGGGAATCGTGTTGTGACGTAAGTCTCCTTCCTCTATCTTTCCTTTCTCACATTGCGTTTGCTAATCTTTTTTTTGAACAGATTCAAGAATATCGAGGATACAATTGAAGTTCGTCACCATGTTTTCGTAAAGACGGGGTACCAATCTGTAGAGTTGGCAGAGGTCGGGCCGAGGATGAGCATGCGTTTGTTTGAGATTCGGGCTGGTACGCTGGATAATAAGGAGGGGGATGTTGAATGGCATCTTAATCAGTACACGAGGACGGGCAGGAAGAAGGATTACTTGTAAGGGTTTGGGGGTGATCTACGAATTCGTCTGGACTATTTTTTACGTTCGGCTGGGCTATCCTTGTTCATGGGGTTGTAACATGTGGAAGCTGGGCATGAAGAGCTGATTAAGGAAAAGGGGCATGAGAAAAGTTGGGTCGAAATCATTCTGCACGAAGTAGCAGATATTTCTATGCATCACGTTAGGAGCAAGGCGTTAGAGCATAATTTGACAATGCGAAATATGTACGAATGTCAAAAAGAGTTAGACAAAATCAATGTGCAAAAGTAGCCAACTTTTCCTGGGCGACGTAAACTTCATCCAAGAAAGGTGGGTTCTATGCAGCCCACATTTGATCTATATCATGACAATTTCTATATTTTGACTCTGTGCTTGTAGTAATGTGAACAAGCTAGGTTCATCACATCATGCAACCGTTCGACTTGCTTGAGTGCAAGTCAGAGACACTCAAGCGCACACGCTGGCCATTGATCATCATGTAGCTTTCCACGAGCCATTCATACCACACCTTGCAGTCATCGGTCTGTCTCCAGAAACTGACTTCGACCTCTGAGTTGGCGGGCAGCTGCATAGGGTTCTGCAATGTTTGTCAGTACATGCGGCTAGAGGAATCAAAGGCCAAAAAACCTCCAGGGTAACATACCTTGAGAGGGAACAAGATTGGGAACCATGAAATCATGTCCTTGCTCTTCTGATCCATGGTAACGGGGTTAGTACTTAGTTCAACAGGGCCTTCGGAACCACTGTACAGCACAGTCTCAAAGTAGGCGCCCAAGCCATGGCAGACACCAGGCTCTTGAATTGGGAATGTGATCCTGCAATAACGCAAGTTGTGTTCGTTCGCGCCATCGCCTCCACAGAAGCCGCCTCCACCGCCTACGGCCGATCCGCCCTTACGTAGCGAAGACTGGGCTAGAACGGCCGGTGGGAGAGGGTGGGTAAACTCCCACGCAGTCCGTACGTTTGGTGCGAGAGGTGGTTCGAGGTTGAAGTTTTGCATCTTGGTGCCGTTGCTGAGCTGCTGAGAGGCAATCGTCTCTTTGGCTTCTGTGGACAAAAAGTCGAATTGTGACAGCATGACGACCCAGGGGATATCGAAAGCGTTTGGGTCTATACTCGTACTACGGTTGTACAAATCTGCCCAGAGCTTTGGGGTGGCAATTGGAGTAAAATGCGCGGTGTAGCTGGAGGGTATCGAGATGCCATGAGTGGGGTTCAAAACATGCTGGACACCATCGAGACACTCTGGCGACAACTCGTTGTCGGCAAAAGACCCAAGCAGCTCACTCACCAGAATGTCAACCTGGCCAAATGTGCCATCTGCTTTCGATGGCCCTTTCCAGGCCCTCATGTCCGTCTTGACAACTGTGACACGTCCGCCCCAAGTCTCAATGTTACGGCGCTGTAACAGGACGTAGGCGTTCGGGTTCTTTTCAATTGCATATACCTTCACAGGGACACCGGAGCTCGCACTCGCATTGAGTGCACGTGTTACGAGTGGTCCGCGGCCAGATCCTACGACTGCAATGACGACGGCGCCATTTTCTGAGCTTGTCGACTTCTGTTGTGCATGCCAATCGCGTAGCGCCTGTGCAATGGCTCGCTCGTACCATGCGTATTTGATTGGGTCTTTCTCAAACACCTCATAAGTAATGGATTCCAGATTGTCTGTCAAGGGCTGCAGTGGGCTCTGGAGGTAGTCCTGGAAGCCACCACCAAAGCGTTCAATCTGGCTTTTGGGAGGTTGGTTACGCTGCAGGTACCGCATGTAACTTAGGTGTGGTGTAGGGTCATTGCTGCTGCTGCTCTTTTTTGGTGATTTCTTTGCCATTTGAGCTGCTTCGGCCGGAGTGGGTGCGGCCGTCGAGGAAGCAGGACTTGGTGCGTCCTCTACCGTGTGAGGAGAGAGATGGCCTGTAGAATACGACATGATCATGTCTGGGTCGTCAATGCCTGGGAGTGGGCCGACGTCCGAGATGAGTAGCCAAGGCCCGCGCTGCAGGCGCATAGCCCGGAAGATGAAGACTTGGTGTGCCTTTGACAGCACGAAGGATTGACGAGCATTGACCAAAAAGGACGATGCCGATAGATTGAGTAGTCTGACGGGTTCTGAGAACCAGCGCGACTGAAGTGAAAGCGACGGAAGTCGGCGCGGGAGATCAAGCACTGAGGTAATCGAGTTAGCATGGAAGAACATGGTCTGGTGAGGTACAGTCTCCCTGATGGAAAGAAGAATGCTTACTGATTGACAGTCTGCTGTGGTAGTTGCAAATGGACCTGATGGTATTCCACGCATCCCACGAGCTCCACGAGTTGATGTTCTTTGCCTCGGGACTGGGCTCAAACTCTGGTCTTGCGAAGCGTGCTAGGTCTCCGACGTCCGCTTCAGTAGGTTCTGGCTGCTTGCCGTCTATGGGTAGTTGGATATGGAGCTGAAGGTAAGACCCCGTAACGAGGGCCTCTTTGATCGAGCGAGCATATTGAGACACACCAGTCTGTCCATGAGCGAGTCTCGGACCTGGCACAACAACATTTGTGACACCGCAGAATGCGGCAAAGGCAATTTCGAGGTGAAAGACTTGTCGCGACAGATGGGCGATAAGTGGATCGGGCGAGGACAGGTCAATCCATGGGCTAGCAAAAGTTACGAGCTGGCCGATGATGTCGGTTGGACCAAGAGGTGTGTCGAAATTGTCCAGTGCAGGTATCAAGGGCAGCGGCTGCGCTGGAGACTCGGCAAGGGATTGAGAGTACGAGTTGAGGATGCCGAGAACACGGTTATGGAAGTGGTCGTTTGTTATTGGGCTCGTGAGCATATCATACTGGTCATGGTCAGTTGCGGTTCCTGCATATTCTCGGCGGCACCTACTCCGAGATCTTGGGCGTGCTGGACCAGTTCCGGCGACACATCGAGGCTGCGCTTCGACTCATGTTGGCCAATATAGAAAATGGCAGCTGAGTCATCCATTCCTTCTGAGTAGTCCATATTGCCAAGAGGGTTCCGAACAGGGCGAAAATATGTGCGGCGGCGAAGGAAATATGACTACGGAAAAGATGGTGGAGAAGACTGCGGCGGCGGAGCACGGCAGCGGGGTTGTCGGTGAGGCGGCGGGCAGAGGCAATTGTTGCGGGCAAGCAAAATCAGTCACGGCGGCGGCGATGGGTCACGGCAGGCGGAAAATAAGCCACTCCGGGTAGAGGGCGCACGTATATTGATCAGATTCATGGCGGCGTGTGTGGGTGGATATTTGGTGTGGTGCCTGGCAGGCCGTGGTGGTTCGCGCCAAGCGTGGAGGGTAATGCCTGTGGAGCTCCGTACGTTAGTTCGATGCGGGCTATTCCTACTCCGGTCGCCGCATAACTTTTTCTACGTCCGGACATCTTCACCACGCGCCAACCACGAGCAAACCGCAACCATGACTGCTATGCCCAAGCGCGAATACGACAACGACGACAGCGCCCGCGTCAAGCGCGTCAAGACTGAATCCACCGGCAAAGGCGATATGGACGCCGCCTCTAACCCGTACCTCGCGCACTGGAACGATACCAAAGACAGTGCCGCCACCGGCCAGGGCCTCCAAGGCTTCAAGCGCCATGCTACCACCACTGCGCAAGCCAATGCCGCAGAGAACGGGCCCAGCAACCCCTTCACCGGCCGCCCCCTCTCCAAAAAGTACATGAGCATCCTCGAGAAGCGCCGTGACCTGCCCGTCCACCAACAGCGTGATGAGTTCCTCAAGCTCTACCAGGAGTCGCAGATCCTTGTCTTTGTCGGTGAGACTGGTTCTGGAAAGACGACACAGATTCCCCAGTTCGTTCTCTTTGACGACCTTCCCCAGACCGAGGCCAAGATGGTCGCTTGTACGCAGCCTCGTCGTGTCGCTGCCATGTCGGTGGCCCAGCGTGTGGCTGAGGAGATGGACGTCGAGCTAGGCGAAGAGGTTGGATACAGCATTCGTTTCGAGGACAAGACGGGGCCAAATACCATTCTCAAGTACATGACGGACGGAATGTTGCTGCGTGAGGCCATGAACGACCACAACCTCACGCGCTACAGCACAATCATCCTCGACGAGGCTCACGAAAGGACCTTGGCCACCGATATCCTTATGGGTCTGCTCAAGGAAGTTGTTCTGCGCCGGCCCGATCTCAAGCTCATCATCATGAGTGCCACTCTCGACGCTACCAAATTCCAAAAGTACTTCCACAACGCCCCGCTCCTCGCCGTCCCCGGACGAACCCACCCCGTCGAGGTATTTTATACCCCCGCGCCCGAGCGCGACTATGTCGAAGCTGCTCTCCGCACCGTCCTTCAAATCCACGCTACCGAACCCGAGGGTGACATTCTGCTCTTCTTGACTGGTGAGGAGGAAATTGAGGATGCATGCAGAAAGATCAACCTTGAAGCCCAAGATCTTAGTCGCGAGGGTGGTGCAGGTCCACTGGTTGTATACCCGCTCTACGGAACTCTGCCTCCGGCGCAACAACAAAAGATCTTCAATCCCGCTCCTCCCCCATCAACCCCTGGCGGCCGCCCCGGACGAAAGGTTATTGTTTCTACCAACATTGCCGAGACATCTTTGACTATTGATGGAATCGTCTATGTCGTAGATCCAGGTTTCAGTAAGCAAAAGGTCTACAACCCTCGTATCCGTGTCGAGTCACTGTTGGTATCGCCCATCTCCAAGGCATCTGCACAGCAACGTGCTGGACGTGCCGGACGTACGCGCCCCGGTAAATGCTTCCGATTGTACACCGAGGCTGCCTTCAAGAAGGAGCTCATTGAGCAAACATATCCTGAAATTCTGCGCTCAAACTTGGCAAGCACGGTTCTAGAGCTCAAGAAGCTTGGCGTTGACGACCTGGTACATTTTGATCTCATGGACCCTCCTGCGCCCGAGACTCTGATGCGTGCGTTGGAAGAGCTTAACTACTTGGCATGTCTGGACGATGAGGGCGAACTTACCACACTGGGAAGTCTCGCATCTCAATTCCCCCTGGACCCTGCGTTGGCAGTCATGCTCATCACCTCTCCCGAATTCTACTGCTCCAATGAGATGCTGTCTCTCACTGCACTCCTCTCTGTGCCTCAAATCTTCGTCCGTCCAGCCAACAACCGCAAGCGAGCAGACGAGATGAAGGACTTGTTCGCACACCCTAAGGGTGACCACCTCACAATGCTGAACGTCTACCATGCATTCAAGAGCGAAGAGGCTCAGGAAAACCCAAAGCAATGGTGCCATGACCACTTCCTGTCATACAGAGCGCTCCAGCAAGCGGACAACGTCCGTCTCCAGCTTAAGCGCATAATGGAGCGTGAGGAGTTGGAGCTTGTGTCTACACCATTTGAGAACAAGAAGTACTATGAGAATATCCAACGTGCACTTGTCGCAGGCTTCTTCATGCAAGTCGCTAAGCGTGATGGCAACGGCAAGAGTTACATTACAGTCAAGGATGAGCAAAATGTTCTTCTGCATCCCAGCACAGTGCTGGCTGAGGACAGCGAATGGGTCATCTATAACGAATTTGTACTCACCACGAAGAACTACATTCGAACCGTCACCTCCGTCAAGCCTGAGTGGCTCATGGTAAGTACATATAGCTCCAAAGTTTGCTCGTCGCATACTGACTGTTTACAGGATATTTCTCCCAACTACTACGATTTATCGCAGTTCAAGAAGGGCGAGATCAAGACGGCTCTGCAACGCGTTGTCACCAAGATTCAACGCAAGGAGGCTGAGAAAGGAGGACGACGATGAGTATTTTCAAATACTCTCTACGAAATAGATTTATGCGATACTTTGGGACGAGGTGCTGATGCTAAGCACCAAAAACACTAATGTTGGATTGTAACGACAATGTCTTATTTCTAAGGGCAGTACCATCCAGTGTGAGTCTTGCCCTTCAGAGTGGGGCGATGCACGGCAGAGTAACTACAGGCTTTTGGGATGGCGAACAGGTCTCATTGGGGAGGGGCGCGTCATCGCCGGCTTTGAAACAAATCTTCTCTTTCCTTAGCATTGATAGACATCACCCTGAGCCCCAAGGAGATCTGTTGAAGTTAGGTTCACCTGCAACACCAGCAAGATGGCTGCCTAATAGTTACAAATGGGGCTGATTTACATTTGGTCCGGCTATGTGTGAACGACTAGAGAATTTCAACTATTGGATGCGGTAGCATTCACCTAAACAACCTTATGGACAGTGCACTCTTCGTTGAATGTTGATCTGCAATGAGACTCAAAAAAAATCGGTCATCGGCCGAGCAGAAACTCCATATCAATCAGCACTACATCAGCTATATCTCTAGCGACCTGCGTCTTGTTCGATTAGTGACTGAAGAAGTCTCACTGTCGTTCTCGTGTTATAGCCAGTCTGTGTTTCGACTTCGTTGAGAACATTCCAGATCCGCGCCTTCCGTGAGATACCCTGGATATGTTTCGCCGCTGTATCACTATGTCGTCAATTTCAAGTACGAGGGTTGGCCTTCTATGTTGATCACAATAAGCATACACGTACCGTAGAACAAGCCATGAGTAGAAAACACCATCAATGATGGCGGAAATTCTGATATGGCTATGTCAGTGACTTTGATGGCCTGCTCCTGGATGAGTGGAATGTAGGCCTCGTCCTGCAGTGCTGGCTCTGCATAAAGTAGTATGTGCGCGATATGATACCCTGACGAGGTCAGTATTCCTCGGGCCACTATTTATGACAAGCTCAAACATACAGAATGCAGCAGCTGCAGCTGCAGCAACCGGAAAATATACTTTGCAGAAACCATCCTCGTCTGTTTCCCCGTGTGGGATACCACTAAAAGTCTCAGAGAGACCTCTTCGCCATATTTCCATCTCATGCAGGAAATCTTGCCGTTGTATTTTACCAGCTTCCGTATTACCATCTGGCCCAAATACAAGGTTGATTACTCTTGCCAATATCCAAAGAACATGGTTTCCAAGTACATCTTCCCTCGTCTCACCCTCTACCCAAGAGACCTCCCATTCAGCAGGGTTGAAAACCAAGGGCTGTTCGCTTGCCATTGCAACAACGATTTCATGTCTGACGTAAATCCAAAAGTTGGCAAGATCAGTCCCAGTCGATTGCGCAGTAACACGCCGTGACTTGACGAGGCTCACAAGGCCTAAATAGTGCCTCCGATAATCCTCTGACCGTAACGCTCCATGGATCTCATAACTCAACAGCAGCATACTTGCCGTCAGCGCATGCTCGTGTTCTGGCATACTCAAAGCTTCAATCAATAGACGCAGAGCCTCACCGTAGTGTCTTACGGCGCACACTCCCCACGACGGATCATGACTGGAATTCGAGAGGGCCAAATGATTGGCGGTGAATGCACACACGCAATGAAACAACAGTGGTGATCCTAGAGCAAGCTGCGGTACTTTGTGCTGGTAGGTAGAACCGTGATCGAATATATCCATCCATGTTGCAACGGTGCGTACGTACGTCTGCAAGAGGAAAGCGCTTTCTGAGGTCAACCGTATTTTTGGCTTGGGACTAGTTGGTCCTGCCGATCCCGTTGGCGATAGGCCGTTCACCGGAATATAGCTTTGAGGTGGCGTTGGGTTCTCAGGGAGTTCTAGATCGTTCATCCGTAGCTTGAAGACATCAACAAGTGAAGGCGCATCTTTGTTCACCTCGTCTCCAGATGAATTGGCGTGGGGAGCAGTCCGGGCATCTTCTGGCTGCTCGCATTCGAGTTGCAGACGTTCACAATTTCCACAGATAGGTTTTTTCTCATCACAGCGTGTGTGACGGCGCTTACATGTTGTGCTGAAAAAGCAGAGTCAACAAAGTGAACGACGAGTCGTCAGCGTAGTGAACAAACCAGCCTTGATGTCATTAGTTTCCTTGAAGTCGTTATCGATAAGGATGTCATGGACGTACCTGTTTTGCTCCGCGTCCCGCCTCTTCGCTTCTTTTTGGGTCTGCTATCACTGTCCATTTCAACTGCGTAGTTCTGAAGTACCTTGTCGCTAGTCCTAGAAACGAAAAACCCGGTGGCAATAGTACATTGTCAGCGTTGAGCCAAGTGGAGCGTAAAGCTCAAGTACATATAGTTTCTAGTACATATTGGGCTAGCATAGTCATCGCGTGTTCACGTGGGATATACCTATATGCACCCCATAGCATATTAGTAGGAGACGCGCAAAATTATTCATATCGGAAATCACATTAGTTGATATTGAAAAATGATGTCTGAGTTCACATATTCATGTACAAGTCGTGCGTCACCCCAGAGAGAATTTCTTTGAACAACCAACAGAATGCCAGAAATTAGCTACGTTACTGCAGGTAGAAACACTCAACCTATGTTATAGCTTAACAAAAGAGGTTAAATTATTAGGTTGTACATCATGTGAGTATTTTTTGGCGACTATCAAGATACAGCTGGGTACTTCGTGGTGCATTCGTCAACGACGAGAAAGCCGCAAGTACAATAGCGTTATCAGGCTGTATGCCTAGTGAAGTTAGTAAACTTGAAGGTAAGTCCTCTCACAGGAATATATACCATTCAACCTCACCAAAGAAAACTCCCATGAGGCGACGCCAAGGGGACGTACTTATGTGCATCATATGTATCTGAACATGTTGTTTCGCACACTTCTCTTCATAGAGGCAGGCTTTCCATCTTCGTATTCAACGCCAGCTGCACCTCCTTCGCTGTCAAGCCCTTGCAGTTTTTCCATAAGCTCTGCATCGAGCTCCGCTTGTGTCTTCCTCTTGGGCTTTGGCGTTTCGGAAGTCCTATCATCTGATTTTTGAGAATCGCCATTGACTGAATTTGTGTTTGTGCTATTGGAGCTTGAGTCTGAGTAATCCCTAAGTGAGGCGAACACCGGCCGTGCAGGTAGATACGAGTATCGTATGAGAGAAGAAATTGGAGTAAGGCGAGACATCTGGCGTAATTGCATAATATTAGGAGATGGGCTGCTGTACATTGAAGTGGCTGCAGCGGCATTAAGACTGCGGTGATGGTTCTACGTCACTGTGACCATGTCCGCAACGCGAACACAGACGGTCCTGGCGAAAGCCCACGCGGATGAAATGACGCATGCAGTCAATTACCTTCCTGTCCAAACTGCCCGTTTCTATTACCGATATTATAGAAATCACAAATTTCATGCTCAGCTATTCAAATGATGTGTTGCTGGTCAAATGCAGATGCCTGTTTTTGCCAAGACGCTAGTCTCTGCAGCCCTTTGAACTTTGAGTTCCTCGCGGTCGCATTGCACTGCACGCGCCATTCCACCAACTTTCCGCAAACCCATCCAAAATGGTCGTCACATCTTCCTGGTCGAACGTCGAGGACGAAGTACTGAAGGCTGCCATCAGTAAATATGGGCTGAACCAGTGGTCACGGTGCGCATCTTTGCTAGCAAAGAAGAGCGCGAAGCAATGCAAGGTACGCGCTTTCATCGTAGACTTTAGCATCGCTAGAATACTGACACCAAACAGTCAAGATGGCAAGAATGGCTGGATCCGTCGATTCGAAAAACCGAATGGGATCGCGAATCGGACGAGAAGCTCCTGACTATGGCGAAACTCCTTCCCACCCAATGGCGCACGATTGCACCCATCGTCGGACGGACAGCGACACAGTGTCTGGAAAGATACCAGAAGCTTTTGGACGAACAAGAAGCTCGTGAGTCTAGTGATCTGGGACTTGCGGGCCCAGAAGGCGGAGAGGCGGCTCCTTCAGCAGAGGATGTCAGACGCCTGCGTCCCGGCGAGGTTGACGCCTATGCCGAGAGTCGTCCTGCTAGACCAGATGCTGTGGATCTAGAGGACGAAGACAAGGAGATGCTTTCGTATGTATTCTTCAAAATCCACACATATAATCACAACTAACTTGTTGTCTGCAGAGAGGCGCGCGCGCGTTTGTCCAACGTTAGCGGTAAGAAGGCCAAGCGAAAGGCTCGTGAAAGGCAACTGGAGGAATCTAGAAGGCTTGCCTTGCTTCAGAAGAGACGGGAGTTGAAGGCGGCTGGTATCAACATCAAGATTACCCCAAAGAAAGGCAACCACATCGATTACAATGCCGACGTTCCGCTTGAGAAAGAAGTCCCCGCAGGCTTCTTCGACACGACTGAAGAAATCGACCGCAACGAGCGACAACGAGAGGCCTTTGATCCACGAAAACAACAACTTGCGAACAAGAGGAAGATGGAGGCCCAGGAGGACGGTGGGGGTGACCGAAAGAAGAAGAAGGATGAGAAGGCAGGAGGTCTCGCAGCGTCATATGCAAAGGCTGCGCAGATGCAGAGGATACGGGAGGCAGAACAGAGCAGCAAACGACGTGCACTTGTGCTACCATCCCCACAAGTTGGAGAAGCTGAGCTTGAGGACATTGTCAAGATGGGAGCAACCGGCCAGCGTGCAATCAGCGCAGGAAGCAGCGACAATGTGGCAACCCAGGGTCTGATCGGTGATTACTCGAATGTGGTCGGCAACACACCGATTCGAACACCAATGGCGCCCAAGGAAGAGGACTACGTCGCAAATGAAATTCGAAACGCTCGGATGAGGACAGAGACACAGTCTGCTCTGCTCGGCGGAGATAACCCAGATCTTGTAGAAGACCAGGCGCCCGTTTCATTATCCGGGTCCGCTTCACGGCATCAGATTGTAACCCCGAATCCGATGGCAACCCCCTTCAGGCAAGCCAATGGTGGAGTAGGCGCAACACCAATGCGACAAGGACCAGGAGCGACACCGATGCGAACCCCACGAGACACGCTGCGCTTGAACGGAGAGGAAGACGGTATGCAACTAGTTTCTCAGACGCCTCGCGATATAAGATTGAGAGAGCAGGCGAAGCGTCAAGACTTGAAGAGCAAGCTTGCTGCGTTGCCAAAGCCCAAGGAGGAGAGCTGGGAGTTTGAATTACCCGAAGAGCAAGCAGAACCGATGGAAGTCGAGATTAGCGAAGAGGACGCGGCTGAACGTGACCGGAAGGCTCGTGAAGCCCGCGAAGCACAAGAGGCTGCAGAATTTGGTCGACAAACCCAAGTTGTTCAGAAGTTTCTCCCAAGGCCGTCGCTGATCGACATCGATGCCATGATGAAGCGCGCACTCGATCTGTCTGATCCTGTAGAGCGCGAAGTGGAAGTCGAGATGGCCAAACTCATTGCAAACGACGTTAAGAAATTTGGCAATGGTCGTGTCACCGGTACCGTACAAAGGATCGAGTCCATGTCAGACGAGGCCCTCCGAAATGCAAAGATGGAGCTTGCTCTCGAGCTTGCCATGACTACAGAAAAGGACAAGAAAGCCTTTCACTCTGACGTCAACACTGCATGGACGACGCTACATGGTTCCGCCATCCTCCCTGGTATTGCAGGCTGCGAAGAAGATGAGATTGACGAGCACCAGCTTATGGTCGAAGCGTTTGACAAGGCGCAAGAAGCAATCATTGACGCTGCTGAACGCGCGAACAAGATTGAGAAGCGCCTTATGACACACCATGCCGGATATGCCAAGCGGTCGGCTCTACTACGAGAGAAGATTGGAGGCGCTTTTGCTGCGTTGGAGAAGGCAAGAGATGATCTCAATACAGCACGCACGGCAGAATACAACGAACAGACTGCGGTGGAACGCAGATTGGAGCGTCTGCGCGAGGAAGTGCAGTTTGTCACAAAGAGGGAGAGAGAAGCACAGGAGGTGTATAGGCGACGAAAGGAGGAGTTGGACAACCTACAAGTTCCCGTCAATGGTGTACATTAGATGGCTTTAATGCGTGTTTATTCTTCTTTTTCCCTATTTTGTATATCAATTCAAGTGGATGGGCTGCATTGGGAGGGCGTTTTATCGATGCTGCATGATGTGGATATATGGACAAAACTGCTAGCTATGAAGACAGCGTCGAAATAAATGATTTGATACCACATTAGATTCTGCTTTTCCTTGGCGATGTGACTACAGTGTGTTGATGTGAAAATAACAGTTGATTTACCTTTATGCAGTGTAGATCTTACTGAAGGAAAGATATCTGGACAGATATACGACATCAATCAAAGGCTCAAAGACATATTATTTACCTTCCGACAATATATATTTCCACTCAATCGCTCTCACATTCCGACACTATAGTTCTCCTACCTCTCAGCCGCTTTCATAATCCCACATCGCTCACCCAGTCACCAGCATCGCAGTACCAAATCTTGTCCCTCACGCCCCCATTACCTGTCATCCTCTCACCCTCTGCTCTCGATCAACTCGCCAAGTAAGCGAAAAAACGCTATATTCGCAGATAAACAGAATTTAGCCGCCGCTTGCAATGTAAAAGTCAGCAAGTCCATCGGACCGTACGGATAAAGTCTGCATATTACAGTGGCGTGACCTGACGACTTTTCCTCGCCTTTTCTATTCTGCGTGAAAGAAAGAGAAGGGGAAGATAAGGTTTTATTGCTTAGCTCTTGCAATCTCTTTTTCTTTTGAGTTACAGAGCAGTCGAGAAGAAAAGCGCAGTTATTTCTGACTGTTCGTCTCTTCTCTGTGTGATCGTGATTGCCATATATGCTAGCCCCGGATATCGCAAGACTAAACACGGCTGGAATGGTATATGTAGTACTTGCTGGATTAGTGGCGTGGTAGAGTATCTCTAGAAATTTTGAGTTCAAATAAGTCTCAAATCGTATTTTCTGAGTCACTGTTGAGATGGGCGGGTTTTATCTATACCACGACTACTTGCGTACAACATCTCATTCTCGTGATGTGAACATATACTCCACAACCATCTTTGCCATATATAGCGTAAGAATATTTATAGGAAGGTACGAGAATGATTCGTAGACTCAAATTACGTTGAGACCTCAAGCTGCTATCAAGGATCCAAATACATGGGGGAAATCTTCTAATACGTGACCTGTAGCAAGCCGGAGCCGACCGAGCCTCCTTCGAACAGGTTCTAAATACCATGATATAAGGCATTGTATACATAACATGCCTTTCAATCGAACCATCCAAACTCCCTTACAAAAGACTTTTCAGCAAGAAGATGTCACCTCGTACACCCCAACAACAAGTCATCACAGCATAACAAACAGTTCGAGATCACTTGTTCAAAAAAAAAGTTGGAGTTCTCTATTCGTAGTTCATAAAAAGCGCACCAAGGTGAACGATGATATCCTCATCTCACCCGTCTAAGGAACAGAAAAAGCAAGTTCCCCTGAATGTCCATCGTAGGTAGGACAAAGTGCGATGAAGAGGGGGTCTCCTCCCTCTAAAGTCGCAAAAAGGGTGTTTAAAAAAACCAAGAAAACCAGCTTGATGGGAGTACCGCGGAAGGAAGAGTGAAAAAAGGCGTCCCTGATTATCCTCCCTTCCACGGACCATAGTGAAAAGAAGCTGTGTGAAGGGGGCCTGCATAGCAAGCAAAGAAGTGTAAAAAAAGAAAAGAAAAGTAAAGGAAACAACCCATCCTCGCCCTGCATTACTAGGCGAGAAGGATAAAGGGAAGAAAAAAAAAGGGGGGGGGGAAGGGAGATCAAGCCCACGCCCCATGGCAAAAAGCAAGACCCAGCGTGACTTTTTCCCATCGAAGAAGTTTCGAAAGGAAAAAAAAAGGAAGAAAAAACGCCAAGTCTCCATACCAACCACACTCCCCACCACCTTTCATCCATCATGAAAAAAATTTCCGAGCCCAGAATAGCCAAAAAAACGCCAGGTGAGGAGCGAGGCACGCTCTCTTTCTCTCTCTATCGCTTTCCATCCAAGACCTCAAAAATGCCTGCAACAAGCACCTCGCTGGACCCCCTGCCCGCACTCGGCCGTGGCTCGAGGACATCGAGTCCTTGCTCGAACAAGTGCCTTTCCTCCTCGAGCTCAAACTCGAGCACGCTGGGCTTGCGGCGCACGGCGAGCAACTCGCGCAGCGACGAGCCCGACGAGGAGCGCGTGCTGTGCGGCGACGAGTTGCGGGTGAGTGGGGAGGTCATGGAGGAGGAGGTGAGGATGGAGGAAGGGGAGGCGGAGCGCATGGAGGCGCCGCGGGTGGGGCTGAAGGCTGTTTTGAGGCGGCGGAGGGAGCCGCTGGTGTTGGAGCGGAGGGGGGTGAAGGATTGGAAGCGGTTGGTGCGGGATGGGGAGGAAGGCATGTTGGCTTTCTTGTTTGCTTGTTTGTTTGTTGGTCGGTTGGGTGAAGGGTTCTTCTCTCAGAGAATGTGTCGAGTAAGGTTTTGTTTGATCGTGAAGTGAGTTGATGACGATCGGGTAGAAGATGAAGAAGAAAAAGAAGAGAGTCCGAGTATTCCTTTCCAGAAGTGATAGATGGAGAAAGGAAGAAGAAGCAAAGGAAGCGATGCGGAAGTGGGCAAAGCAAGGTATAAGGATAGTCTCAGACAAGGTTGGCGGCGGCGAAAGGTAACCAAGGATACGGGTCCCGTCAGCTTTCGAGTCTCTCTTTTAGCGAGTCAAGCAATGGTAAATGACGTTGGCAAGCAAAAAGATATGGTCCCGGCGGGTAGGGATGACAGACGGGTCTGAGCTTCGTGTGGGTGGAACAGAGTTGGATAAAAGGGTAAGGCGTGGTCGTTTCGTGTAGATTTGGTTCTTCAATGGACCGAGATAAAGTAGAACAAGCAGAAAGCGGGAAACCTTGTTCAGATTTTTGGGATTTTTAAGTCGTTTTGCGCGTTGATTGTAGCGTTGAGTCGTTGCGTTGACAAGCGTATTTCTTTTGCCGTTAAATGTAAGACGGACGGGTGGTGCTTGTTGTTGTGTGTAGTAATACCAGCCACGACACAATGTGAGGAGAAAAACAAAAAAGCAACGAATGAATCGTAGAAGGAGGGAGAGGGGGGGAAATGATTCAGCGGTTATTTGGGAAAAGAACGAGATGACAGCAGCCTTTTGAGACGCAGCAGAGAAACAGATGCGGATCCCCTTTTTTCCCTCTTTACCCCCTCCCTCCACCCCCAAAGCTGTCGTGTCGCATCTTCTGGGTTGAGAGGACGCCAGTGCGCGTGCGTGTTGCGTGTGCCAGGGAACTTCTCAAACCATGGAACGACGCTTCAAGTGGGCAGGGGCGGGGGTTCTGGCCCATTGTTTGATCGCCGGCCCAAGCGAACTAGCGAGCGGGAAAGTCGATGGGCGTTGGTTTCCTACTACCAGAGTCGTCTACAGTGGGCTTTGCTGGGCTTTGCTAGGCCCTTGCCGGGTGCCGCGGACAAATTGCTCTGCTCATTTCCAGCCAAAGGCCCTGCAATTGATAGGGGAGATTGCATGGCATTGGACCGAGTAAGGATGATCCATATCTCCCTCTCTCTCTATGCTCAACCACCGGATTCTGGGTGATGGACTTATCCTCAACCTCTTGCTTGCTTACTTGCTTGCTTTCGGCCGAAGGGATATAGTGCATTGAGCGTCGTCGCTTTTATTCTGGTTACGTACTATGGGGCCTTGATGTTGCGACGAGTCCCTTTTTTTTTCTTCCTTCTCTTTACCCTATGCATGCGACTGGAACATCCGTCCGCCTCATGCACATACATACACCCACACTCACACACACTTAGCATACATGATGGGCATCTTTTACCGTGCAGGCGTTTCCGCCGATGGCGTCCCGTACCGTCCTCACAGCAGAAAATCGTAGTGCCAGTACGTAAGGGTGCAAGCGACCGATTGGGTGCAAGAGACAGACGAGTGTTCTTACCGGACCATGTATACCAATCTAGCTGGCTTCAGACACAATGCACCCCATCGTCTTGTTTCTCGCGTTGCAACCAACCAGCCCTCGCTCGCTGGCCGCCCACACAGCACATGAAGCCCGCGCCGTCTCCGTGGCTGTGTGACGCAACAACAATCTGCGACAGACAGCCGGTGGCCGCAAGCAGTATGATCCTTGAGGGGGACGGAGGGAATGCCGAGCTATCTGACGGCCGACCCAGTGTTTCAGATGCCCCCGGCCACAAGACGAATCGAGATGCTGTTGTAATGCAGGCGACGCATCGACGGCTTGTCCGTGGTCCATTGTCTGATGGAAAACGAGGCACCGCACATGCACGCAAATGCGTCTATGGGTCATGCGCAACGCGCGAGTTTCAGGTACGGGATGCCAACCAGCTCGCCTAGACTAGCGTTCCCAATGGTATTCGTATCCGCTGCTCTTGTCCTCATCCACCAACATGCCAAGGTCACGCTGCGAGATAAGCTGTGGACCACCGCTGGCCCCTTTGCAATAAGTGTACAGACCCAAGAGGCAAACAAAGTATTGGAGCAGGAGTCGTGACTGCTACTTGTTAGTCCAACACCAAGACACATCCAGTCGTCATCACCATCATCATCATCACCATCGCCACCGCAGTCATGGCCCCCCCAACCGACTACATGCTCGTATTAATGCCGCTGTGCTTCTCCCTCGCGTTTGACCGCAGTCAGCCGCAAGCGAGTCCGTGACATAACGACTCAAACCTTAAGATACAAGCCCATCAGCCCAGCATATCCACCTGCGTACATTACACTGCATAGGGTTTGCCACCCACCACGCCCATCACAGTCAAAGCATCCATGCATGTCTAGGGAAAAAGATAACAGTCCATTCAGATAGGTAGTCTACCAGCTCTACAGTGTAAGTAGTCGTGACTCGCCTTCAACGCCAACGCTATGCAATGTCAAAAAGTCCGCGCCACAACACGCCACAACACACCACCACGCCATCCACCCCACCGCAACCATTAGCTACACTGGCGCCAAGATGGCCTCGATTACAACCCGTTCCCATGCCGTCCCTTCTAGGTACCTCCTCCCCGTGCAGATCAGGTTTGCTACTATTTCCATGCCTATGTGCCTGTGTCGGCTTGAGACCGCTCGCGTGCGTGTTTTGGTTCCTTCTCTCGAGCTTGATGCAACACGTGTTGCACCATGACTGTCCTGAGTGTCTGCAACAGCGAACCCCCAAGACTTGCCCACCCCCTTCCCGCCTGTCAAATCCCCATTTCCAGTACCAACGCCGAGTTCCCTTTTTGATCGTCACGGTCAACAAGCTGCCTTTCAGCTTGCTAGACCGGCTCGTATTCCTCCCCCTGCAAAACACCTTCAGCCGCTATTGGCTTAGCCTAGCTGCGCCTCTTGGTTGTAAAACTTCTCCTGATACTTTCTCCCCATACAGAGTTGTCTAGCACCTCCAAAACTTCCGCTGCGCTAACTGCGCTATTTGCTCGGCTGCGACTATCACCTTGCCCAGGCTCTGCCTCGAGCGGACTCGGTGGCCGGCTAAGCGCAGACGCAAACTGCCACTCGGGATCCGCTCCGGATGGTGACATGGGCGATGTTGGCTGTGCGCTCCTTCGTGTAGGTGACCCAGTCGGTGACTGCTGAACCAAACTGTTTCCACTTCGGTTTTGGTCTGTTTGCAGATGCGGGAGCGAAGGCCCAGCAGAGTTCCTTGGTGACGGAGCATATAGGTCTTGAGGTGAGAAGAGAGGACTCTCTACTGCAGGGCCTCGCTTAGCATTAGTGATGTCTTCGTCATCAATGAAAATCTCCGGAACCGTAAACTGCGGAACCGTTGCCATGCGTCCCTGCTTCTTCAGTTCCATGGCGCGGCGGAATCGTCGCGCCCAGTACAGCGTGTCGAAGAAGCCAACAACAACATTACGGCGGACTGCTTCTTCCACTCGCTGCAGGCGAGCCCTACGTCTCAAGAATTCTTCCAGTCTACCAATCGTTAGCCATTTTCTCGCACAGTGCTTTCAACACATACCTCAAGCTCTTGTTGTCGTTGATGACCTTGTAATGTGCCAAGATCATGAGCAACGAAGAGAACTGGATGCCTCGATCAGGGTCGCTTGATACATGCACCTCCTCATAGAACGTGTTCATGCGTTTTCGTCTGCGCTGGATTTCTGCCACGGGTAGCTGTGCCAAACGACGGTTCAGCTTGTCAATGTCGATTTCTTTGGTCGGTTCGCGGCCTGCGACTGGCAGATTCGACTCCCGTCGATTCGTCACACTGCACTCCTCAATGAGCGCACCAATGGTGAAATCACCATCATAGATACGCATCTCAAAAATGCCAGAGAGTTCTCCAAGCAGCCTTGGAAACACGTCCTTTGAGATGTAGCCTGACCCGTTAGGATCAAACTCTGCCCATGCCTGCTTGAACCGACGAATCTCTTCTCGGCTAATGACGGACAGTCCACTACTCCGCTGGTAGACGTACGAGAAACTCTCGTAGATCAATGAAACGAACAGATTGACGAAGATGTACATGCTCAAAATGTTCCAGCTGATGAACAACGCTCGTGCCCACTCGGGACTGCCACAGTCGCTATTGAAGTATCGGTCTCCTATCGTGCAGTAAGGCTTGTCAACGCTTGCAAAGTCTTCCATGAACTGGTTCCAGCCCTCGCCTCCACTTGTGACAAACAGGAAAATGAGCGCCTTGGGTACAGTGCGGAAGTTGATGTTTCCAGTTTCGTTTTCCCCAAATCGAGTGAGACCAAACGTTTGCGTGAGAGCAATAGCGTATACTAGGAACAATACAAACCACGTGGCAAGCAGGTTGCTAATTGATGCAAGACTAGCCGCCGCCGTCTTGAAAAGCTGGTCTAGCGAATTGTTCCGTGGAATGAGTAAAAGGGCAATCGATACAAGACAGAGCTTGTGGAGCTGGACGAAGACACGAATGTCCTTTCTCGCTAGTACAAGAATCGATGTCACAAAGGTTCCCGTGACAGAGAAGATGGAGAACATGTCCCAGGCGCTCTTCCGGAAGCGGTGCCAGGACAGACCAATGATCCGAATGACTACGTTTGCGATGAAGGCGATTGTAAGGACAAGAAAGACGTAGTCTCGGGCAGTTTCCCAAGGGCCATAGCCTGGATACCATTCCAGGCAGAGCAACATGAGATGCAATATCAACACCCCAGTGACGAACCTCTGCCAGTATCCAGTCTTGGTAATGGCTCGACGATAACACCATTCTTCCCAGCTTTCTCGTTGCTTGGTTGACGATGGACGCTTCGAGGGGGAAACTTGACGGAGAAGCTTCCGTAATTCGAGCCAAGATCGCTGATCTGTCGTCAAGAAGGCAACTCCCGTTTGTTCCGTGTAGTTGCGCATGAAGACGGACACAAACAGAGTCAAGACGAAGACGGCGCCGAGCAAGTTGAAGATGATGAAGTAGATCGAGTTGGCTGAGGCCGCTCTGGGTTCTGGTTGCGTGAAAAATCCAGTAATACTCATTGCAGTCCACGTGCAGTCTGTCCAGCCTTCTTGGGATACAATCTGGAACAGGATGAAGAGGGAGTCTCCAAAATTGTCAAAGTCGTAAAAGGGATTCGAGGCTTGGCGAGGGGCCAAGACATTCCATTCGAACGGCGAGCTGTTGTATTCTCCAACACAGTCCTTGAGGTTAGCACCTGCTGGGAAATCGCCGTCGTTACAGGACTGCATCTGGCCGACGAATAGATTTAGACCATAGATGGCAAATGGAATCAACAAACTCATGGAGACAAAGGCAGCCTGGGCCAGTCATTAGTAATGTCGATACATATGTGCGATCCTACTCACCGAAAGGAGCTTCCACCAGCTACGAATAATAAGTGAGTGGAAGTGGTTCCGCGCGCTGTCACTGATGTTGAGCAAACGAAGGGCTCTGAGAGCTTTGAAGGCGCCGACAGTTCGAGTGACTTGACCCTCATTCAAAAACGATGTGCCAACATTGATCCATAAGGTGATGAGCACAACACCATCAATAAATCCCCACGAGCCGCGGAAGTAGGCGTTTGGCGTCCAGAAGAAACCGTCAGCGATGACTTTGATCAGAGCCTCGGCGCTGAAGAGAATGGCAAAACCCATATCTACCCATACAAACCAGTTCTTGACACTGAACTCGTGACGCATGAAATATTCTCGCTGATACAGCGGTGTTGTGATACAGGCCAAGAGCACCATGGCAATGATTGCTGCATAGATGAATGCCGAAAACGCATACCAGATGGGGACAGATGGCGCAACTCCTTCAATACGATCGCCGCCTCGGCCGGGGCCAACAACGCGTTGGCAGAACTTCCGTATTGGATTGTTGACACGGAAAATGAACAGAGATACGTTGTAATTGGGGTGGTTCCGTAGATACTCGCGCTGAGCCTTTTTGCGTCTCTCCGTGGCCGAAACTACTTCTCTCGCCATGCTACTTGGATCGAGGTCCTCGTATGCACGACCAAAGTCTAGGGGAGTATAGAAAGGATTCGGCTCGCGATTGGCAACACGCCGTAGAAGACGTTGCCAGATGGTGGACATGGTGCCAGATCCCACTATAGTCTTCGCAGGACGAAGGCCCGGTCGAGGAGGTTCTGCCTCTGGTGGACTTGGGTGCCCATTACCTTCATCAAGAAAGTCGCGAACGACCGCATCTTTTAGAAGCATTTCAGTAGCAGCATGACCGTAATCGAGAGGGTCTCGACGACGCGCCTGGCCAAACTTGAAAATGGATGAAAGTGACAGGTTGCTACAAGTGGTCAGCAGGCAATCTAGCCCTGGTAGATAATTTAAACATACCCAGTGGAAGAAGTCAGACCGTCCTCCTTTTGCTGGAGGAATGCCTTGACTTGCTGCAAACGCTTTTCATCTTCAGAGACATCAAAATTTTCCTGAATGATAGCAATAAACATGTTCAGAACAATGACTTTGGAATGTTAGGGTGCGGTCTTTACACATATCAATGGTTTTAGACTTACAGTTGGCAAAAATGAACCACAGGATACAAAACGATGCCCCTATCCATGCTATGCCAAAGGGTTTTTGGTAATTCGTGACATTGTACAAGATTGTGGTCCAGTTTTCGCTGGAAAAGATCTGGTACATTCCCAAAAAGGAGTTGTAGATATCAAAGAAGGCTACTCGAATCGGATCTCCGTTATCATCTTCTTCTGGAATTTCGCCCCGGAACAGCTGCGAAGCAAAGATGGATGCCAGGAAGGTAAGAAGAAACACAAAGAGAATTAGATTCAGCAGACCGCTGGCGTTTTTAAACACAACCATCTGGAAATATCGTCAACTAGGCTCTGCCACAATGTCAGTGATAAAGGACTCACAATGAGATCCCGCGTCACGGGTATAGCCAAGACGACACGGTAGACGCGGGCGATTTGGAAGACTGTTAGCCAAGCGTAAGCCTTCCCGTTATGTGCGGATTTGATAGCGGGTAATTGAATGATTGCTGTGATGACGGCAAGGAAGAGATCTATGACGTTCTGCTTGCTCTTAAAGAAATTCCTCCAATCGACAATGAGCCGGATAAGGATCTCGAGAACCAGGATAAGAGTAACAACCAGTTCTACTGTGTCGATGAACGATCTGCGAAAGTTGCTCATATAGGCGCTTCTCATCATCTGGGCAACTAGTCCAAATGCTATGACAGCCACCCAGAAAAATCGAGTTTTGTCGTAAAAACGTTTGAGAGAGCTGACACGTTGCTTCTCGTTGCTGTCTTCGGTCGGCTCTTCTTTGATCTCTTCTCCAGTAAAGGCACTGGTTTTGCTTTCTTCGCGGATGATTTGGAAAGAAGAAGTAATGACCGCGATTAGCAATGAAATCAGCCACAAACTCAGGATGATGATGCCAACAATAAAGAAAACGACGCTGAAGAGGTAGTCGGTGTCTGCTACAGTGTACATTATACCAGACCAGGTGTTAGACGACATGATGACGAAGACGAGTTCGAGCGACTGGAGGATATTGTCAAAACTTTGCGTGTCGGCAAACGGATTGGTGCTTTCGACGCAGAGTGAACCCTTTGGACATAGGAAGCCTTTACCGCCTTCTGGCCCACTAGGCCTGCCTGGAGCTGGTATGTATCCTGCCGAATGAATACCATCTTCGTCAAGCAAGTGTCCACCGCAGAATTGGTCCGAATTGGTAAAGTTTTGTATACCCTGTGGGTCTTGCCACACGCAGGTTCTCCTAAGACTTGACTTGAAGCTTTGAACACCGACTATGGAGAAGAGGAGCCAGAAGAAGCAAATCAAGAAAGCTACATTGACCAGCAGAGGCGCAGCCTTCTTCAAACTCCGGAGAATGACCGAGGTACCGCTAGTAAGATTCAAAAGGCGAACGATACGCAAACAACTCAACATCTCGAAGACAAGAATTACTCTGCTGTTGTTGATGTTCCAGAGTCCCAGAATAAAGGCAATCCAATATGAAGTGACGGCGACAAAGTCGGCGCGATTGAAGGAGTGTCGGAGATAGGCGCGGTGGGCCAAACGGATACGCTGTTGCTGGCGTGGATCGGCGGGGCCCTCATCTGGGTACATTTGTGCAGTAGTGAAGGCGCGCAGTACCGAAGGCTGCTGGGGATCCTGAGCAGGCTTGGGGCTGACGCCGCTCTTTCTTTGCGAGGGTTGTCGCTGAAAACCGGTAAATATCTGGTCTGCTTTGGCCAAGACAGCCTCCTTAAGTCCAATCTGTCGATTGATGGTGCTGTACTCGACAGGGTTGATGATGAAGCCAGACACGATGATACGGACAATGACTTCGAGAGTGTATACCACAAAGAGACCCAGTAGAGCAAAATCAATGTTTCCAAACGCAGCAAACCTGTCCCTTGCTTCGGGATTGTAATGTGCCTTTGTGCGGGCATCAACAGCCAAGAGTACTGTTTGGACGATGATGAGTATGAGAAGCAACGGCTCGGTCACTGGGTGCACCAAGAGGTCGCACAACTTCATCCTCAGCTTGTTGTCGGCAGGGAAGATGCCTAGACTCTTTCCGCGCAAGGGGTTCGAAGGGCGCTGCCAGCTTGGTTTCCGCTGATAAGCAATAGGCGAAGGGGGTTTCTCTACCGGTGTAGAGGGTACCGGCGAGGTAGGACCATCCGTGGCGTATTCCGATAGTGCTGGAAATGACGGAGGTTCGAGGAGACGGGAGTTGTGCACCGACGACTTTCTGCGTATGGTGCGCTCCGTAACCTCGGAGTCGTTGGTGACGTTGATGACACGCTGGGAGATGTTCCGCATGATGGTACCAGCACGATGCAGAGGTGAGCCAAACTGGCCAGGCGACAGAGACCGGCTCCTTCCTCTTGAGTCTCTCGGGTTGCCTGTGGCAGCTTCGACCTGGCCAATGTCGTCGCCGCCGTGGCGCCCACCTGACGCGGCATCTCCAGGACTGAGAAAGTGCACACTCTGAAAACTCGACCGGTCGTGGGTTGGGGTGGTGGGAGCAGCGGAACCACTCATGGGCTGGAGATTGCGCGGATCTGTGAGGCGAGACGTGTCGTCGTAGGTGGGCGAGAAGTAGCTGTGCTGGTCTTCCGAGGTTGATCGATGGAGATCTGGCTCATTGTCCAAGGGCACATACGACATTGGCGAGGCGGGCGCAGGAATGGGAGGCGAGGTTTCGCCCTGGAACTCCATGCTCATGCCAAAGCCGATGGCAGCCTGGAACGCGCCCGTATCCAAGGGCGAGCTGCCATCGTCGTCGTCGACTCTGCGTATTTGGTGGGCCGAGGCCAGGGTGGTGTTTATCTGGGGCCGGTGTGCATGTCGCGTGGGACTGGGCGAGACGTCGGCAATGGGTGCGTACTGAGGGTCTCGGAAGTGAGCCGATCCCATGGCGCCCGAGTTCCTGAGCAGATTGCGGCCGCGGTCGCCAAGGGAGCGGTTGTGCTCGTGGTGCGGCGCATGGTTGTCGGCTTGATCTGGCGGGCGATTGAGATCTTGCAGAGGGATTGGTTCGTTGGTGTGTCTTCGGTCGTGGTTGGGATCTGGGTAGGACATTGGAGCGTGCTGGCTAACTTGCGACCTTCACCTCAGCATCAGCCCCGACTGGCGCAGTGTGTGGCTGCGTGTGTGAGAGTGCTATGGCGCAATCATGTAGGGTGCAGGCGGCAGGCAGACAGGCAGGCGAATGCAGGGCGGGGAGTAGGGCGCGGGCAGGCGTAGACAGGATACGTGTGCTCAGGCGCAGGAGGGCACAGGGCGGGTGGTGAGGGAGAGTTGTGGGAAAGTTTACAAGACGTTGTTGACCGAGAGCGGGACGGCGCCCGCAGCCCTGAGCCACAGCAAGCAGGGATTCCAAGGCCCCGACGGCGAAGACGGTTAGGCTACGTCCGGCTCGACTCCGCAGGAACGGGCATCCGACGTGTTCTAGCTGCTATCAGAGATGGGACGGGCCCAGTGCGAGGGTGTGTGTATTTTTAGGCCAACGTCGTGCCAGGTCCCTGTGGCTGGTGAGTTTCCTAGTGCCCAGTGAGTAAGTACTGTACTGTGTAGGACGACGCCGTGTGGCCATGTGCTAAACATATCCATCAACCATGGACACGCCGTCTTCTGGATGCATTTGTGGATGGCCCCATATCAACGCATGCACATGCACACGCACATGCATAGACACTAATCCGACTGCCACACCACACACCAAGAACCAACACGTCTTGGCCGCTCCGAAACAGCTTAAGGCTGACTACGCTGCAGACCCCTTACTGTGCCTGTCCCATTCTCCAGCCACACCACTGTGGCCCACGCTTGCGCGGCGCATGCCCACACAGCTCCACACCCTCATTCAAACGCGTAATCGCCATCTCGCAACCGCCTGGGCACCGCTTTGACACGCCCACGGCTGCCGGCTTGATACCTTGCTTGCCCTGTTTCATCGCCCTCGAGCAAATGCACCAACCACAGCACTACGAGTGCCGCCTAGCACCTTACCACAACCGACTAACTACTACTACTACTACTACTACTACTACTACTATGCGTATACTCTACCAAATAATACGCTGGATAAATGAAATGAACCATGTCTGGGCATGCTCGAGTATTGTCACGTGTCTCCCATACGTCCGTACTACTACTACACTACACACAGAAGTAAGGCGCCTCAATCGGAAACACAAGGTGCTGCTTGGTGAGGCTCCCCTAAAAGCGCTGAGATCCGCGGGAAAGCCGAAAGGGGTAAGGCGCCTTTTTCCGATTCCCCGTCGCGCGACTTCATACTCTCGACATTCACCAGAATAGAGCCGCATTCACTCCTCCGCCCTGCCTACGCGACCCCGACGCCCAACACTGCTCCGTCCTCCCATCCCCATCTGAACAGACGCATATCCCGTAAAACCCCCTCGTCCCCTCGCCACCTCCGTACTGCCAATCGCACGCGTCGCCGCACGCGAGGCATCGCAGATATGCCGTCCAGAAAACGCGCCGCCGACGAAATGGACGTCGAGGCGCCTGCAGCAGAGCCGAGCACCCTACAGAAACTGCGCAACATGTGGCAGTTTGCCAATCTCGCCCAGTACATCAGCCTGTTTGGCGATGCCGTCAAGATCGACAGGGACTTTGACATCGAGGTAAATGCAACTTGCGCCCGCCGTCCCTGACACTGCACCCGTCCATGCTTGATACAGTGCCCGCTGACACATTCATAGGACCTCGAGTCCGAATGCCTCAAGCCACAACCCTCCGAAAAACTTGCTCAGATTGGCCTGGCGCTGCTGAAGCATGTCTCGTCACACAAGGGCCTTACGTACGTCTCTGCCATTGCGCATTTTCCGCCACCTCTAACAATATGCCAGGCTTGAGATATTCGATGAATACGCCCGTCGACAGTACGTCGCCAAAGCACCCACCCGAAACCCCTTTGGCGAGGATGAAGAGCCCCTCAAATTCAACGATTTCGACGTCTTCACAAAGATACGCGTGCTACAGCAATTGTCTATATGGACGCTCAACAATCCAAACTCAATAAGGGAGAGGATGGCTGCAACAGATGGAGAGCAGGCACTCTGGGTAAGCATTACATGGGCCGAGTGTTTGCAATGTCGCTAACCCCGGTCTTCAGCGCATGGAGCCCACTGGTTGGGACTCACAGGAAAGGACTATCTACATTCTTGATGATAATCGCATGTACCGAATGACAGATCCACCCCCACCCCCCGAACCGACAAAGACAAAGTCGAAACCGAAGCCAAAAAAGTCCAAGGGCTCCCGATCCAGCAAGCGACAAAAGATAGCAACTCCCGAGCCCGAGGAGACTGCCGAAGAAGAGCAAGCAATAAGTGAACAGTCTGAAGAGGTTGATGACGGCTTTGGAGGTAGGAAATGGGAATGCGTCTGCGTCACTTTGGAAGATTATCAGGAGTACATTAACAGTATCCGAAAGAGTCGTGATCCCAATGAGAAGATTTTATGCAAACGCATCCAAGAAGACGTCATCCCCGTCATGGAGAAACTGGCCGAGGAACAAGCCAGGAAGCAGGCTCGCAAGATGAAAGAGTTGGAGAATATGCAGAAATTAGCCATGGCGAAGCGCTCGTCCCGAATCTCGTCCCGTCTCGAGAAACAAAAGGAGATTGAGGAGGCTGAAGCAGCAGAGAAAAAGAGACAGGAGGAACTTGCCATGGCCAAGGCAGAACAGGAGAAGCAGAAAAAGCTTGAAGAAGCACAGGACTCGCGCAGGATGACCCGCGAGCAGCGGCTCAAAGAGCGAGAAACTGCCAAAATCCTGAAAGAGGAGGAGCTTCGCAAACTCCAGGAAAATGAACAGAAGCTGGCTTCTAACAGCGCGAGGTTATCAGAGAGGCACCTCAAGGCCATGATGAAGAAACATGAAAGTGACCTCAAGAGGCTCAACGAAGAGGAAGACTGGTTCTTTGACTGTGAGAAATGTGGCAAATACGGTTCCAACTTGGTATGGTTACAGGTCTTATACTTCTCAGCAAGTGGCTAACCTTGACCAGAACGACGACACGCCCCAGATATCTTGTGAAAAGTGCAATGTCTGGCAACACATGAAATGCCATGGAATCACTGAAAAGCAGACCGAGGATCCCAAGTTCGTATTCATTTGTACTTCGTGTAAACGCAAGGAGGCAGAGGCGGAGCAGCCCAAACCTCCGTCTCTGAAATTACGCCTAACGTCACAATCGCCCGCGTCTAATGATCAGTCACGAACCAACGGTGTCAAATCATCTGGACTCGACTCAATTCGGATACCAGCACCCCAACCCTCCGCTCCACAAGCCTTCCAGCCCTCCATGCACCCTGTACAGCCTTGGGCTGACGGTCCAAGTCTATCACCACGAGGTCAAGCTCTTGGACCCCCTGGTATTCAAAGATCCGAGGCCGCATACGGATCGCCAACAAAGGGTGCAAACGGCAGCATGTCCTCGCCAATACGGCCCCGTCCATCCTCCCCTACATCCTCACCTCCACCCTACAACCTCCACCGGATACCCAGCAGTCCCACAAAGAGCAGTCCCACAAAGGGCTCCCACACATCACACGCACCCCAAAACGGCAACACCTCATTCAGCGCCAACCCCTTCAGCTCAAACCCCTTCGCCGCATCCTCGCAACCCCTCCCCTCCTACGCCCGCAGCTTCAGCCGCCCTACCTCCGCCGCCGGCGGCTCCCCCGTCAAACACTCCCCCGCCGCGTCCCCCCGCCCCTCCAACGGCCTCCCCCCGAACTTCCAATTCAACAGCCCGCACTCCTCCTTCCCCCCTTCCTCAGCGCACCGCCCTTCTTTCTCCCCCGTAAAACACTCCTCCCCAGCCCCCCTCCCCGCAACAATGTCCTCGCCCGCTCCAGCACCCATGCGCATCGCTCCGTCGCCATCCTCGCAAATGCCCGCGCAAATGCTTCCCGACCCGATTCCTGCGCCGTCGAAACACGATGGTGTGCGCTTACCGAGTCATACTCATCATCTGTCTGAAACTCCGGTTTTCCCCCCCGTAAAGAGTCTGGAGCCCCTGAGTAGTCCGACGATACTGGATCCGCCGGTTAAGAAGTCGAGTCCTGCTCCTGAACGGTTTCGGGGGACTGTGAGGGAGGAGTAAGGAGTGTGAGTGGGGAGAGAGAGTGTGTGTGTGCTTTCTGGGGTTTAGTTCGGTTTGACTTTACTTTGCCTTCCCCCTGTCCTGTTTTTTTCCTGCTGCTGAAAATTGAAGTCGGATACTGGGATGTTGAGCGGGTCTTTGTCTTTTTTCCTTCTGAATTTGTTCCTTTTCTTATCCTTCTAGTTACCACAGGGCCTCTTTTTTTATATTTTCGGAAAACGGGTATATTGAACAGCGAGAGTGGGTTGTATTGGGCTTTGGCCTTTTTTTTCCTACTTCTTCCTCTTCTTGTTCTTCTTTTCTGGGAAGCGGTTTTCATTTACACTAACGTCTACAAGACTGTCATCTTTTTTTTTCTCTCTCTCTTTTCGCTTCTTTTTCCTCTTACATGTATTTTCCTCCCACACCCGAACCCCCCTTTCAACCCTGTCTTATCTACATCTTCCCCTCTCTTTCTTTTTTTTTCTCTCTCTCTCTCTACACCTTCACACATTCAAAGAGTATGATAGATTTCTTCTCTCCCCTGAGACGCTCCCTAACTGCTTTTTTTTTCCCTCCTTTTGGTTGCGTATTCGAAACGATGAGCTCGTACTCCCCGACAGTATCAGACATATAGTTCCTTATGTCCTCTTTTGCGCTTCTCTGCAGTAAAGTCATGCCTGGTTTAGATGGGAGAAATGAGTACTTTGGCGAAGAAAGAAGAGAAAAAAGATTGATTAAACTAAAGGTGTGGTTAGCTAAATCAGCTTTACGTCGAGTTCAGTTTGTAGAAAGGTGGATCTTTTTTTTGTTTCCATTGTCCAATTTGAATGGATGGAGAGGAAAGAGAAGGGAGCGAAGAGAGTTGAGTATGCACGTTTTTTCTTATTTATTTATTTCACATTCTTGTATTTATACCATCTTTTTGTTGCAGTATGGAATCAGAGAGACTTATTAGGCGATTATACGTAGTAAGATATCCTATGTTTTTTTTTAGCGAGAAGTAACATCAAAGAAAGTGGTCCACGCACGTTGCACAAGTTAGTAGATTTTAAATAAAAGTTACTTGATCATGTATGTATGTATTAAATGTCTGCAATATGTGAAATGAGATCCTATCAAAGTCAAAATTGTGTTCCCCCCAATGCAACGCCCTACCACCAGCGCCCTTTTCTCCCCAAAAATGCAAAGCAAAAATCACAGAAAATGACACGCGATACATGAATGCTTAAGCAGAGCTTTTCAGTGTGGTTCTTGTTTCTCGTACGTTTCTCGTATGTTTCATTTTCATTTGTTTTCTTCCTTCCTTTTCTTCATCAAGCCTTTAGTCGTCTCTCTTCACATCTTACACAGACGGGATCTTGCGTGTCACCACGGAGAAAGTACCTTCCATCTTCAAAGGGACCAGAGCAAATCTGTCTTCACGTTAGCATTACGTCCACCATCTATAGGGAGGGAAAAAAACTTACCACACAGACAAAGCAATTAGTATGCCACTCCGCTCCAAGAGCCTTGACAACCGTATCTGTAACCGGTTTCCTGCAGCCCTTGCACTTTGTACTGTACCGATGCGTGTGACAATTGACACACCATGCGTATCCGTCTTTCTCAACAAAAGGCGTCGTGCTATCAAAAGGATCACCGCACTGAGCACAGAAAAAGTGGCCAGCGTGCCACTCTGCACCACATGCTACAATGACTTCGCCTTCAATGGGCGTTTTGCAGCTCTTGCATCGTGGAGAGAAGAGCTCGTGGAAGTCAAGGTGGCAGTAGAACCGCGGAGATTCATCGGTGCCATCATCGTGCTCTAGACGAGCCATGTCTTCGGCTGTAGGGTGCGAGGGCAGGAACGGAATGTCGTAACCTGTGAGACGAGCGCGGATACGCTGGACACGTTCGGCATGCTTGTTGGATGGCTCGGGGTAGAAAGCTACGCACTCAAGGTGCTCACCACATTGATAACATGTGAAGCATTCTGGATGGAAGCGAGAGCCTCCTGCAGAGACAATGCGGCCTGCAATGGGTAGCGCACATTGAGTACAAAGAGCACCTGTGCGCACAGTGGTCGGCGTCCAGTGAGTACGACCGGATCCAGAACTACTGTAACTGTGCGATTTGTTTTGAGCGCCTGGTACCGGTAGAGGCCGTGCAGAAGCTGCAGGCCCAAAGCCCTTTGGCGTGTTCACGTTGATTGAAGGCACCGAAGGATTAACCGAGATTGAAGGAACGTTACTGTATCGTCCTCGGGCGGATCCTGTAGACTGATTGACAGATATCTTTGGAACATCAGGAGTCACATTGATAGAGGGCGCAGTAGATCCTCTTCTTGGCATAGGCGTCTCGTTCACTGATATGCTCGGGATGGGCTGGGTAATTCCTCTTGACCCACGCTTGGGAGCAGACGACTCACTGACGGATATTGATGGAATGTCAGGTGTCATGGACCTAGAAGCTGCAGATGATCCCCGTCCAAAAGATGGCGAGTTGCTGACTGATATACTTGGGACAGGTGCTGTGACGCTCGACGATGGCCTATGGTAGCTTCGACTCGACGGCGTCTCCGAAACCGAGATGGAAGGAACACTTGGTGTGGATGTCGTCCTAGAATGTGCGGGCGAAGAATCAGGAACATTTATGGTGGGTATGGGTGCCACGGAGGGACGCGTTGGAATTTGAGCTTTCCTCAACGAACTGGTCAATGGCAAGGGTCGCGCTGGTGCTGGTGGATCTTCACGAACACTGATAGAGGGCCTATCAACTTTGCCGCCTCGCAGTACTGAAGTGGCATTGCTAGAGGAGACATTGATGGCTGGAGTCTCAGGTGGTCTTGGCGTGGTGCTTCGTTTGGGTATTTCAGGTGCCAGGCCGTTACTGGGCTCAGGAATGTTGATCTCAGGAACCGAAGGAGGGATTGGTGTGGTACTTCTCTTGGGAATATCCGGTGCTAAACTTATAGTAGGCACATCAGGGGCCGTTGCAGCGTGCACCAGGGGAGGCTGACCAGATTTGGGTTGGCTGGAAGAAACTGGTGCTGGATCAGTCAGCGTAGAAGCGACTTCTTTCAGCTCGACAACATTCCAGTCCTTTTTGAAGGACACGATTGGTCGCCCTGGAGCGTCAGAAACAGCAGTGGGCGTAGGAAGCTTTGGACTACGGTCCTTGAGGCGAAATCCGGTCGCAGCACGCAGCTCCTCACTTCTTATCTCCTTGCCGTCCTTCATCTTCACCTCAGGCACGTTCTCCGCGTTTGCCTTGTCCTTGTCGGTTGGCTTCGATACAGCGGAGTTCAACGTGTAACCGGCATTTCGAGACTGGGTTGGTGGATTCTTTTGTATCTCATAGCGGTCGAGCCGCTTCGAGGTCACGGTAGGATCGGTACTTGAGCGTACCAGTGGATTGCTCTTAATAGATTGGAATCGCATAAAGGGGTTGCGCCTTACTCCTAGTGGTAGCTTCTCAATTTTCGATGGTTCAGGGGCGGGCTTCGGTCGAGGAGCAGGCAATGTTTCTTCTTCCGGTTCCTCGTAGATTTGATCGTTGGGGTTTTGGAAGAGGCTTCCACTGGCGGTACGACGAGAACCACTGCTTCTCCGCCGTTGCTTAAAGTCTGGCAGATCCGAGATGGCTTTGGCCAATGCCGGCGACTCATACTTCTTGCCTTTGAGGTCAAAGCATCCCTTGGTTGGCGAAGTGGCTGACGTTTCATTCCCAGTGGTAGATACATCCGTGTTCCCTCCAGGCCCGTTGCTTTGTAGGCTACTGCTCCTGCTCCCCGAGGCAGCACTTCCCATCGAATGTCGCTTTCGCAGCTTGGAATTGGCCCGCTGTAGATCCTGATCCTTGGGCTCAACGCTCCGACTTCGCTGCGTGCTATTCTTCCTACCCAGACCTGGATAGGAGTATGGCGCGTGAGGGTTGTTCTCCGCTGCATTTGGATTACGGTGCTTCCAGACTAGCTCGGCAGCTTCGTCCCGTGCCGCCTCGTATATCTTCCCCTCTGCTGCAAGCTCAAGATCCTCCATCGCCGCACGGATAGCGCGGGCTTCATCTTGCTCTACCTGTCGCTCCTGGCGTTCTCGGTATATCATACTTGGTGTTCGCGTGTGCGAGGAGGATCGTGAGGTTTCTCTTCCACGAGGCGCCTGAACAAGTGGCCGTCCAGGGCCTCCAACCTTTTCCATGCTGGTCCTTGACGTTGTTCGGCTGTGCGACCCTGGCTCTTGCGAGGCGGAGGGTTGGGCTTCGGCATCGGCAGCAGGGTCTGTGAAGGTACGTTGCAGCGCAGCCACAGCTGATGAATCAGAATTCCGGTTGGGTGTTCTGCTGGACCAAGTGTTGAAATGCGCAGGCGCAGGACGTGCTCCAGTAGGACGGGCGGGGCGGTTTGTGCGAAGGTCTTGTAGGTAGTTCTCTTCACATATACAGTCAGAACCTTGGTCAGAATACAATCCTGCTTGTAAACCTTACTCATTTGGGACTGTGAATAGTAGGCTCCAGGCCCTGGCGACGAAGCGCCTTCTCTTTCCTTGGATGCGAACATGTAGCGTCGGTGTTTATTGCTCTGTTTGTGTGGCGTCGAAGGTAATGACAAAAGAACGCAAGCGCAAGTATTTCTGATAAATGGACTAGTAGTGAATTGAACAAGTTTGAACGGGTAGAACGATAGATATACGAACCAAAGCTGTAGACAAGCGGTGGGGGGCGCGGTCGAGGTACTGCCCGTAGCTTGTTGCTATTCGTTGGTTTCCCATGGCAACTGAGCCTGTGACGTCTTGACCGCTTCCCACACATCCACCCCCTGCCTCAGCCACACTATCCCCGGATCTTCAGGGTCTGCGCTCTCCATGTTATTGTTGCCTGTACGGCGGTTACAATATCAAGCGACATATACACTGTTCTGGTGCAATCGATCCTATCGCCTATGCGTTCGCGCTATCCAATCCCGTCGTTGGTTCTCCACAATTCATCACTATGCAGCACTCGAGCCACCAACGACTATGATAAATCTTGCATTCAAGAGG